TAAAAAAAAACATTAGGAAATATATACACTGCTCCAAAACAACTTCCTTCACTATAAAATGTTACTCTAAAACCGTTTATGATCTAAGTCTGCATTCTTTCAGCACTTGTTAATGCATCCTTGCAGCTAATTTTAGATTTTGGATCTGAGGTGTTGTAAGTCATCATCAAATTATATTTATAGTTTGAAACGAGAGCATGTAGTGGTGTGATCCCTATGACCAGACTTGATGTTCGTATTAATTATTAAAATTATTAAAAAGTTAATTTACACCAACTCTTAAATTTACGTCATAGAACCAATCTAGTGAAAGAACAAACAAATAAAGCGTCACATTGCCCACATAACGAGATTATATCCCAATGTTTATTGATGCTACAGCAGTCGGAACGATATAAATAAAGCCATTTTGTAGCCTTTCGGGAAGGAAACTTCGACACGATATGGTCCCGTATATCAGAACCTAACAACATCTTTATCGTTTCGCGCCCGTTTTCCTTTATAGAAAATTATGGCTTCACATTCCTTCAAAGCTATAGCCTTAATATTTATCGAGATAATAATAACCGTAACAATTTCCTTTTCCGGATTCACGACGACAATGGTTTTTCGGTCGAACGCATCATACGAAAACGGTTCCAAATTGAGTTTATTTTAGCAATATGGACACACTTTTTGATAACAATAAAAATAAAATAAGACTCTTGAAATAATTAGTTGATGTTATCATTAATTTGTCTAATGCATGTGTTTAGAGTGTCGGTGTAGTAGGTACCTACGTTATTGAATTACACATAAAGCTTAAAAGCTACGGTTCAGACACAAGGTTGTTTATGCAGCTTTAGAAATTGAGCGTGGGTTGTACCTGGACCATTTATCACGGAGACAACGCTCCGTCTCCAACACATAAAGATTCGTCCCCATCACGTTTAATTAGCACCCTTATTAATCGGTCGTGCAGGCGGCGAATGCCGTGTAGGCAAATGATCAATTACGTCCGCCCGTCTACTTGCCCTTGTGTGTACCCTTAATTGGGGCCTTGTTCGCAATAAATGCGCTAATGAACAACGAGCTCAAATAAATTTTACCAATAAATTTAATTTGCGAGCGATTGTGATTGTTGGACAATTGTCTGAAGAATTTTAATTAAAAAGTGCGGCGACCGGCGTTGTCTGCGTTTTGTGTACCCCCTATCGTTTATAAACGTTCACCCTTCCATTGTTTTCTCTCATACTACACATATGCAGAAAATTAATTCTCATAGCGGGATACCATGCCAATAATACAAAACACCGTGCAATGTTGTTATGAACGGAAATAACAAGCGACAGAAAAATGTTAAAATAAGCAAATACTTTCATGATGATTTTATTTTTTTTTTAAGTGTAGGTTCTTTTAACCGCTTGGTTTTATTAGACCTCCAAGAAGAACGTATCACCCTAAAAGCCACGAAGGATTTGGGTTCTCCGGGTTGCCAAGAGCGTATCGATAATAATTCTTCGACCACCCTACCTCGGTTAGAACTCCCAGTAGATAGAAGATAGGTCGTATGCCGGCCGATACGCCATTCTCCAGCGGCTATCCATCATAAAAAGTTTTATGTGGGTCAAGACGGACCTGCCGGGAAATTAAAATTTTGACATGTTTATTGCTTGTTTATCCGGGGTTTACTTATAGCCTCAAAATGATGATATATCGACGATGAAACAGCTGCCTCAAGTTTTTGCCGTTACAACGATAAATTTTAAATATGCAAGCTTATCTGGAAAACGCTTTTAATACATATGTTTCGACAATTTATTGGGCTATGTTAGGACACGCCCAAATATCTTACATTTAATGTCCCATTAACGTCGTCATAACAATGATATATTAACTCCGTTAGTGTATCTGTGGTGCAGTCTTGAAGATGACCTCCACGTTTAATTAACTTAATTACTATCGGCTCGTATAACCTTGATAATATAGTACACATAAGTTTGACAAGATTTAACAAGAAATTTTATTTAACGCTCTTTCGGTGTTAGTCAAAGCACGTACGAAACGGTGTTTAAAATCGGATTAAAACTCCAAGATCCAATTTCGTCGTAGTGAATATACGGTTTGTGTTGAGAGGAGCACGCGTTAAACTTTCCAGCATTTTAGGAAAGTTGTAAGAGGGCGCGCTATCGCCGATTTTAGACGATCCAAGAACCAAGAGGACCCATCCTTTTGTTCGCATAAAACTTGAACCGATCCGCTCGGACTTGGCCCACGAATATTCGACGTCTCTTTTGTCTGGGAATCATAGCTGCCATCATCCATCTCGCAATTTATGACCGAGGGATGGGAAAAATGAAATATAGTGTCTTCGTTTGAGAACAACTCGAGCAAAGCGAAAGCGGGTCAAAAGCTTTGCTTGCTAGAAGTTCGAAACTAAGGCGCTCCGTGAGACGTAATGAGGAAAGCAAAAAGTTTCGCTGACACAAAATTTTGGAAATTGATTCCGTTTTATCTTGAAAAGGGTTTAAAATTAGCCCTTTTAAAGCAACCGAGTAAAGATTTTTATTTTCTTGGAAAGGTTTTAAAACTTTCTCCTGCAACGCACAAATTAGAACCAAGTAAGGGTTTGAACCCGGTCTTGAGACCACAAGATGTCCCGCACGGCAGTTTTATTTTGTCCTCGAGCTTTCCCACCTCATCCATAGTAAGTAGGTCACGTCGAAAAAGGTCTAGTGGTGCCGGTGTGACCGTAGATAGAATTCGCCTAGAATTAAAGTTTGTCGCTGAGGGAACGAGCCCTTTGTAAAACCGTCATCTGAATTCATCAGGGCGCCACGGTAATTTGCCAGTTGGAACTTCTGCGCATAATTGCTCTTTTAAGACTTCATTAGGCCTCATTGTTGCATTTGACCCACTGTGGCAACTTTAGATTTTTACTTCCTGCTTTTCAATGCTACACGTTTTCCTTATACAAAGTAAGGTCTAAATAAAGCGTGATGACTAAACACACTAATTTCAGTTGACTTATCTTAAGTTGTAACATTACTATTAAATACCTTAAGCTCAGAATTGAAAATGCTTTTTCGATTTGTCTATGGATACGTTTTTAGTGTACTTGGGGTTCCTATACCAATTTTGATGGTGAAGCAAATCACTTATTTAACACTACGACCTCTGACACCCCTGTTCACAATATTACAGGTTCATTGGATTACATGGTTCACAAGATGGAAACTCGACAACTGTGGATAGGATCTATAGGGTCATCATGATGATGCGATAACATCATTTGAAATTGCTCGATAAGACCACTGAGTAGACCCTTATATTTTGTTCATTATGTTGCAGAATTTTGCAGAAGTGAGAATTCCAATTTTTTGATCGCCAAACTATGGTAAAATTAATTATAATGTTTTGAGTTTTGATTAAAAAAACCATAAAAATCTATAATATGTGTATAAAAGAAGTTTGATATATTGTGTAGTGGTAATTGTAACGATAAAATATGATGGATGTATTGATCGATAGTAAGACGAATTATAGCGAACTCAGAAATAAAAATCCGCTGATGGATTAGATAAGCTCTAGGGATCTGGAAGTTTGTTTAAGGCGAGCTTCGAGCGTCCAAATTTGTAACTTCTCTCGGAACGGCCAACGAAGGTTCGAAATAGTCGAAAGTTCAGCGCTGTCATGTTTGAGGTAATTGAATCAAGGCCAGCCGTGCGTGAGTCGCTGGCGTTACGACGCCGACGCCTCGTGCAGATGCGGCGATTAAGAACGAAGGCCACCCTTTTAAATCACCAGAATACGTAAAAGGATTATCAAGTTTTGTTCACCTCTTTGGTGGTCCGCGCGAAACGAGGCGGTATTTTAAACGTTTAGTGGACGAAGTTTGAAGTTTTGCAAGCTACTTTCGTGCCGAATTGGCTCCAGGGGATCTGCACCAACACTCTACGGCCTCTTAAATTTAAATTTCTTGTTGTGAGTTATTGGCACTTTAAACATATTCTTTGGTTGGTATTTGGGGATTCGTTGACCATATGAATAGAAAACATTATTCAAATATGGAAAGTTGAAAATATTTTTCGATTCAATTAGAGATTCAGAGCTAGGTTAGTCTTTAAAATATCCATGTATCATAAATAAAAGACGATTAATATTAATTAAAAGTTATAATTGATTAAATTTTCCACAATTCAAATACAGGATAATATTGAACGTAGTTTTGCATTTTGAACGTTCGAAATTGCTCACAAAAGGCTATGATTTCACATCCAGCGTTATTTATAATTATAAAATTTTAATTTACATAACTCAAACCGCCCAACGAGTGGTATTATGTACAAATTGAAATTAATTATGCAAAATATTGGTGCGGAGTGAATTAATTTCGATTTATACTGTGCTTGTTAATTAAAAAATATAAAAATAAGCCCCAATTAAATGAAACAAAAACTCGATTTTGCAATGAAGCCATTTAAAAGTCAGGAAATTAATAAGCAAAATGCATAGTAGTAATTACCCAAGATTCAGCATGCCTTTTCATTGAATTCAGTCGGGCTAAAAGGCGTCGCTACGGGTATTGCCTACCTAATAGGAGGTCCTTTTGTTTGCGCACAACGTTCATTTGACGTTCAAAGATCGAAATGTTCTCTCCCCGGACCTCCCTTAATTCACCGGCTCGACGCGTAGAACTCCTGCACCCATTTGTACTAATAACCTAATTACAGATTAATTACATACTTAACCCGTTTAGCGCGACGCCTGTTGGCCCAAGGGTGTAGTTTAAACGGTACAACGACTGTCGATCGAGAGAAAGCCGAATTTCTCACCCCCCGTTCCGGTTCCATTCCCGTAATTACTTTCATAACACAAAAGGCTCCGGTCCAAAATGAGATTTATTATTTTGGGTACTCTATTGTTAATATTTGCGACAAAATAATGTTAATTATTGTAATTGAAACCAAGAACGTTTTAGAAAAGAAACTTTAACACACAGTTAATTAAAATAATTAATTAATTTTTTTTATTATTCTAAAATTTCGTGAAAATCAATGATGGAAGGTGTTAGTAATAATTTAACATCGACCGTATTACTCCACCACCTGTGCCAAGGAACGACCTCGTCTTTCACGATGACGTAAAACGTAGTTCCATAACCCAGAAGCACCACACCTAGTAAAGCCATTACAAACGACTTAGTCCATAGTTCCGAAACGCCCATTTTCCTCGCTTCTATTACAAAATATTGCATCCCAAAAAGACACATTACAACTAAGCCCACAGTCACCGTAGTAAGAAGAACCGTTATAATTGCAGTCGACCGACAGTGATGTCTGTTAATTGGGTGTCGAAACCATAAACGTATACTTTCCCAGAAACCGTAACGTGGCGTACGAGTCGAATTGAATTGGTACATACAGATTTCACAATAAGTTCGACCCGCTTGATTTAACCATTTCTCCAAACATGATAAGTGGACGTACGCCAAGCTTCCTTTGCAATTACAAGGGGAAATTAGGAGTTCTTGTTTGGAAAACGTTTGACATATCCGGCACACCATCGAACAGGAAGATAAACTCGAACTGATCGGTGTGGCTAAATCTTGTAAGAGGTTTCTTGAGGATAAGTGGTCCAGCGAGCTTTGATCGGTTAAAGTTGAAGTGGAAAATCCATTTTCCGTCGACATAGTTCGTGCTTAAATCAAAAGTTTTGGCATTTACATTGTTTAAAATTAACGACACTGTCACAATTGAACGTTAACCGACACTAATTTTTATTTAAACGTCAGTCACACCAATTTTTGTAATTACAGAACGATTGGTTTCATTAAAGCATTATCAAAATGTGTAGTAACGATACGTTTTATGATTTCATGTCCTTAATTGCAAAAAGAATTTAATTGTTAATATAATATTTGTGTAAAATATGGTAAACTCAAGTAAAATGTCTAAATGATTTTATTCGAAAGTATATTTCTAGTAAGCATATATATATATAGTATTTTCACATGTCAAAGATGCAAGTTGTCGCCACCAGATGGCTTGTTTTTGATTTAAATACCTTTAATTCCCTTCTAATTAATTCATTTCTCATGTTTTTTTTTGATTATTGGATTTCAAACCAATCGTATGGTACTGCAGAATGGGGATAATTAGATAGCATAAAATAGCGCAATTTCTGCCATTTTCGGACCAAAATGTTGAAAGCTGTGATAAATTTAGTTATTACCCAAGAAATTGCGAAGTGTACTAATTCAGAAGGTAAACGTATAAAGAAACCAGCAAAGAAATGTAATCATTGATGAAATTCTTACAATTTGTAAATTGCTTATTCATGCTGAAACAGTATCCAGTTACAAGGTCCATATTTTGCTTTGAAGAAATCCTAATATTTAACAAATTTAATGCAATGAAAATTTTAAATACGAGGTATATCCGATACCTATACTACCTGTATTATGCTAGTAGGATAAGTATAATTAATGCTCTAGATTGAGAGCAGATGATAGTTAGTGTTTATTTCGAGTTATGGCAATTCACAATTAAGCCTATTAAGGTCTACCAACCTTTGTGCAATTCATGGAAACCGTCAAAATTTTGGAAAAAATATTCAGAATTAACATTTGGTTAATCTAAAATACAATCCAATTAACATATGTCTTGAAGAAGACTTAGACGTGTGCTATCAGGGAAAGGATTAGTTATCGTGCAAAAAATAGCACGAAACCATAAAATAGTTGACACCGATCAATAATCATCAAGTTTGAATCCAGTTGGACATATAGACTTCTAAAATAAAATGTATTCTGAGAACTATTAGCATCGTTAGCCTTTGACACGACACACACAAACATGCAAAGCTTTTAATGATTAGTTCTGAGTGCTCTCTACAGTAACAGGTAATTCCCACCTTACGATCTTTTTTTCATTCACACACGTGACATATTATGTATATTCTTGTAGATCCTATCCTAAGGATTTTCTAAAATAAGCCCAGAATTTCAAAATGAAGATTGAGAAAATTATCGATGTCAAAATGATTGTTTCTGTTACAGCGTCTTATTGAGAGTCCCTTTAATAAACGAGGAGAATTTCTGCTCCATAAACACTAGAGTGGCTTTCGTCGAGGAGGAGGTCATTGGTCTACTTTTGACTCTAATCTACTCAGCTGTCTATCCAACATGATACTTCCAGTTCAGTCTGCCATCAAGGTGGAGACCAATATATTTTGTTCATTCTGCTTGAGAAATCATTAACGTGGGCCGTTTTCAAACTGTTAAGCTATATTTACCAATCCCTAGCCTATTTATAAATTTTGTTAACTCCTACTTGAAGTTTTTCCTTAATTGTCATTTGAGTTGAACCTTTTACCATAATAGCTGTGTCATCAGCCGAATGTCCCAAGTAGAGCAACTTAAGCTGGATTTATATTTATATGACGTGTTGTGTCGTGATGTGCTCTGACGTAATGGTTAGTGTTCACATTTATATGTTGTGTTCTGATGCACTCTGGCGATATTTTGAATCAATACAATCGTAGGACTCAGAGAGTTCATACGTGGGTCTATAATGTTTCCCATGAATCTTCTGATTCAAATTATGAAGCCGATATTCATTTAATGGTACTGGCAACTCTTCTAGAAAAAAGAAAAAGAGAAGATATTGGGTTCATCCAGTGAGCAGAAAGAGAGAGGCTAAAGACGAATTTCATGGCCTGGTTAAAGAGCTTGAGAGCGATGCTGATAATGTTAAATGTAATTAAATTTAATATCGAAAGAAAGAAGAAACGCAAATCTGACAAGTCATAAGAGAGGTGTACACTTGTCTGATCTGTCGTTATGCGTCACTTCCCATTCCACTGCTCTGACGGACATCGGGATCACTGATGATGCAACACAACAGAAGACACCACAACACATTGTGACACACAAACATAAATCTCACCATAGTAAATGTATTCAACCGATATCGTTCTGACATGTCACAACACGACACGTCAGACAAATATAAATCCGGCTTTATGAAATCGAAATAACTACAATATATAGTGAACAAAGGAGTGGTTCTAAGACACTGCCTTCATGCCTTGTGGAACTCATGTGATAGTAGTTGATATTAGTTCCACGGCAGCTTTTTGTCCAAATGGTAAACAAGTTCCTGTTGTCCAGGGAAATTGCAGGAGTTCCAAAATGGAAGGCTGGTATATAGATGAGTAGTTTAAGACGTTTTACAGTAATCTTTAAAACAATTTTAAAGTGATAGAAAACGGCGAGTTTACCTATAGATAAGGTTTCTTAAGCATAATTATCGGTCTGTCTTAAAACATTACAGAACATGCTTCAGTCTCAAGCAGGAACTAAAAAATTATGTCAACATGAAATTTCATCAATCTTAATACCAATTAGCAGCAAATTCATCACCACTAATAGCGAACTTATGTAACTACGATTATCTTTAAAAAAAATCCCCTTCATTATGCCAAAAAGATGATAAATAAAGTATTTTACTTGTCCCTTATAATTCTAAGTAATCTGTATCTACTTACATAGTTGTAATTAATTATAATTTTTATTAGTTACAATTAGGTAATTTCAATATATCATAATGGAAATTACAAAAACAGAGATTCCTTTATTTAGAAATAAATCATCATTGAACGTGACTTTAATTACGTTAAAACCCTTTTTGTTACACCCGGGAATTTATACAAACTTTTAGGGATACTGAGGTAGAATTCGGTGTTATTTTAAAGTATTTTTCATTTCCTGTCACCATTTTGTTGTGAAAGTCAATAACAATTAAGCAAGTTTCTGTTTGTTGTATCTTAAAGAAAACTATTAGATAATCTAAATTTTGTTTCAAAGAATTTCTTATTTCCCAATATCATGATTTAGGGTGGCAATATCTAGTTTATCAATAACTTTATTTAAGATGTTTTTTTTTAATGTTTTATTTGAATCATAAACGTCAACCACAAAACTTACAGAATCAATACTTTAATATAACTTTAGTTGGACATTTATTAAGTTCAAACTTACATTAAAAAAAATAGAGCAACTTTTAAAATCTAAAGATAAATCACATTGAAATTTTGAAGGTGATCGTTGTCACCTGGGAAACGTGAACGTTTACGCTCGAGAAGCTAAATCATGGGGCACGTAATCCACCTCCGCATCTTCTTGGAGCTCGAGTACCAACTTTCGGTTCCCTCAATGTGACGGTTACCAACGGATTATCGCACCCTAGAGTGCTGATTGCGAATGCTACCGGGATCAGTTGTTGAACAGTAGTTCGCTCGACCGTGTGATGCGGCTCATTTGCCCAAACTTCCATCGAACGAGACGAGACTTGCGGTAACTTTAAATTTTCTATTTCGTGGAAGCGACCGTTTATTTTTTCCCCAACAGAATATTTTTGTTCTGCCACGCCCCTCTAAGCAGATTTCCGGAAGAGAATTAACTCGCGTCGCGTAATTAAGAGCACTTTCTCGTGTTAATTGCCCGGGACGGAAAGGTTTTCTCGTCGCCCTTCAGGGCCTATCCATAATTAGCAAGATATTTTAGCACGTTCTAATTTCTTTTTTCGTTAGGTTCTTTTTCTTTGTAAAAAATTATATTTAATTTATTTTCAGCTAAGTAGATGGAAAATTCATGGAATAACAGTTCATTGTTTTAAATTAAAAGTAAAGTTCTGTTAGATGAGGCGAATCTTTTAATAGAAGGATTTTCCGAATGCGAAACAACCACGAACTGTTTCGAAATAGAGGCGAAACCGTGTACGAAATTCCGCGCGCGGATCAGTGAGTTATTGTGCGAACTCACTAGCGAAGCCAAACCGTAGCGCTAGAATTTGGCCGCTTTTCTCTCCGAATTTTCGGTACAGGATTAACTAAAGTGTAGCTCCACCGCGTCGGTTATGCGCTTTGAACAGATTGGATTCTACGTTCGGATGAGTTTATATCTACGAAACAAACATTGCATTATCAAACATAGTTGGATATAATTTTTCAAAACTCTATAATTAATGTTTAATTAATATTCCTTTATATCCATTGTAGAGGTAAAGGATTCAACAAATGTAGGTGAGTTACATTTTTCTGCGTTTATCGTAGAATATTATGAAGAACATTTTGAGCTGTTCAGAACTCTAAAGGATGAGGGCTCGTTTAATATAAGTGATTATACGGGCCCGTATTGCTTTTTGATGTGGTCGTGCGTCTCTTAAGCCGCACGCCCTACGAAATCAGTTTACGGTTAAGACGAGCGAGTGAAGCGCATAAAGACGTCTCGTGCTGAAAGTAATGTCCTGAAATTTCGGTATATTGCTTTTTAGGTGCTCCATTTTGTTCAGTTAACGACATTCGCCACAACCGCATTTCTAGCACATGGTAAATGATTTAGTATGTATATATACACTCTATACGCGATTTCTTTATACCCATATCTATCTTAATCACAAAATAGAATGCGAGTTTATACCTAAACAATGTGACACTTAAAACCACCGATTGTAATCAAAAATTTCTTCCTCTAAATTATAGTTAGCATAATAATCTCGATTACAATCTGGGTAACATTGTTGTGACGTTTATTATTTGGGTTTCAGGTATCTTGGATTCGGAAGAGGGATCTCCATATCTTAACGGCAGGCATTCTAACTTACACGTCGGACCAGAGGTTTCAAGTCATCCGACCCGATAAATCCGACAACTGGACGTTGCAGATTAAATTTCCCCAGATCCGAGACTCGGGCATTTACGAGTGTCAAGTTAACACCGAACCGAAGATGTCTTTGCCTTTCAGGCTAAACGTCGTAGGTGAGTACGTTACTGGAGAGCAGTGACACTTTGCAAAAAAAAGCTCACATGCTTTCAACCAGAACACGAAGTATACGGTACCAGTTCTCGAATGACAAAGCGTCTCACTCCCCGTTTTTCATACAAAGGAAAAAACTGTGGTACAGTGTTTTCGTTTGTGATACGAATATTCAATACACAACGTGCTCAACATGGAACAACCCTTTGAAATGTGACGGTAATATTTATTTCGTTTATTTGCTGTCCGACGAATCCTTTTATAAAACATTTCTTTGAGTCTAACTGTAAAAGATACGTTCGATATCTATTTGTTTAACCACCTCAATGAAATAAAGTAATATACATACTTAGGTAGTATGTGGAGGTTTCATTCTCTCTTTTTTCTACTCGTGTTCCCTCATCATCGCGTAAAATGGAAACGTCCAATTAAGGGAGTTCTAGTGTGACGACGACGACGACGACGACTACGACGACTTCACATTATTGCCGCCAGGAGTCGGCCGCCGGGGATTCGTTAAAATTGTAAAATCGTCGGGTAAATTTTCTCAAATTCTTCCACCCCGGGGCTCCCTTTGTCCCTCGTGTTTCAACCTTCCACTGAAGTGTCCCATCCCACCCCTTGTCAGTTATTTTTTTTTCCTTTGCGTTTACGTCACGAACGTATCAGTTGGGAATTTAAATTTTTTGTTTGTTCGTTTTTAACTGTTTTTTTTTTGCGTTACCCAAAGACTAGATATGGAAAACCTTCTTTATATTTATTGACATACTTGCTATCCAAAGTTTTTCCATAAATCTTCACCCCAGTTTGGTTTGAGTTGAGGTATTACTTCACAAAATAACCAAAAAGGGATGAATCAAACTATAAGAAATGTATTACATACAGAAGTGAAAAGATCTTAAATATCTCTTTAGTTAAAGGATTCAAAATTTCGGAATTTTTTTACAATACGCCAATCGAGAATTTGGTGCTCTTGTACATGGTGTGTTTGTATAAATTGATGGATAACCTACACGTAGCGAATCTTCGTTCGACTTTGAATCGAAAAGTTTTCACACCTTCACGAAGTTCACACAATTAGTTCACTAATAACAAAACATTACAAATTACTAGACTGCTGCCTTTGATGTTCGATACCTTAATAAGCGTTCTATGAAATAAATAAAATTAAGTGGAATTTGTTAATGTGGTTTTGTAAAAATTACGCAACTACGTTTCTGCACTTTTGTTCATATTTGATTTTCAAACCAATTAAGCTATGAAGATTGCTATGAATTTGGAAAAGGCAAGATGTACTTCAGGAATTATTCTGTTAAAACCGGATACACATGTTGTATTTGTAACCAAAATGATGCTAAAGTTATTCAAGAATCTGTCTGAACCTAATTCTAACAATTGCTTTTATTTCGAATGCAACAAACCTTCAGGTATGGATGTTGTTGTTAGTGTTGAACAGATCTTGTAAACTTTTTATATGCTGTGTTATCTCCATTATCAACTCTCTTTTGCCATATATTTATTTTTGCAATGGTGGCTTGCAACGATAAGTTGAGGTAGTTTAAAACATTAATTACACATTGAATTATGAGGTTTTTGTGAAACAAAATAAGATAATAGAAAATTTTTTTGCTTATGCACAAAAAAAACAAATCGCTTAATAGATACATAATAAAAATTCAACAAAGAATGCAAAAACTAACACTACAAAAGACTACATACTTGAGTTAAAGAAATCAAGCAGAAGTTGCATAAAGTAGCTGGCATTGCATTTTCTGTTTTCTTAATTCAGTATATATGATCGTGGACTCAAAGGATGAGTTTTAATGTAGTTATTAGCTTCAAGCTTTCATCCAGAACTTTCTGTAAATCAAAACCGTACGTGTTTCCAAAGCCTCTCTGTGCATGCAACAATGAGTAGATATAACACTTGGGATAAAATGTTGAATTCTTTATTAATTCCCACCATACATTTTCTCCATCTGTGTTTATACCAACACATCTAAATCCTTTGAAATTCTTTTGCATAAATTTATTTACAACAATAAAATTTCCTCTCATGTTGCGTGACCAGATAAAGGTTGGCAAAATAAAAATAAGGCTGTTTGTGTAACGTGTACTTTCGGTTCATGAACAAGTCCACCTCGAAGAAATTTTCGTTGTCGTTAATCGATTCTAAGATTTTAAATTCCACCATGTTCAAAGGTAAGATAGTATCCAGCTAGTGATCAATAATAAATACATCATTTCAAAACCTAATTTTCATGTATAGTTTTTTAAAGAGCTCGAGTAAATTAAGTCATTTCTGTAAGAACCACAAGATTTTATCTTAATAATATTAAAAAAAATACTTTGCGGAAATGCAGTTTTTCCCCTTGGCAGTCTATTATTAACTCAACTGCGTGCTATATAAGGAGAATGATAAGCAAAGTTGTCGTGACAAATTCTATTACAACGTACTTTTTAAATAATCTGTACTCATTAAATGTCACTTTTATAAATAAATTAATCGTAAAAAATAATTTACACAAACAGTAACGTGTCGACATAATTCTATTTTTAAACCTTGTCAAATTCCTTTCAAACCTAATAAATGTCGTGATGGTATCTGGTCGCAACCCATTACAAACTGACGCTTTGTTCTTTTCGGTTTAAGTGGCCACGACAGTATACAATGTGATAAATGACTAAAAATACTTCATCGTTGTAACGGTTCCCGAGACAGGGTAATTATTTAAGCTTGATTTTATTAAATTTGTTTTCGCTCTATTATTTTTTGTCTACCTTGGCAACGACATGCAACGTTTCCATTACTGTTAAAAGCCGAGTTATGTTTCTGCCAAGTGAAGAAACAAAAATTAAAATAATGCGGCTATAAAGTTATAACTCAAAGTTGTAGGTTCAAACTGAGATTTAAACTGAAACTCACTCCCTTATTCTTTGCGAAACTAGGCTGCGGACGACTAGTACCAGAAATGGCCAATAAATAATTCTGCTTGACTAAATCATCTTCCAATCCATCCTGCGTCCGTCTAATGCAGCGCAGCACCTGGAAACTTCTCGTCGACCTGCCATAAAATCGATTTATGACCGCATTTGCTGGAATTTTCCCTGCAAAGCGACGTAAAGAAGTGGAATATTTTCTCGATACTACGTGACCCCACACAAATTCGGAGTACAGTAACGTGACGTTTTAGGGGCGTGTTCAAGTGAAAATTCGACCGGAGAAATTGTAATTTATGCACGTGATTCCGTTGAAACCGTTAAATCAGAGAATAATGCGCTCATCAGCGTGCACACAGTCGAATGGTACGCGAATAAATCTCGGGTAGGAAGTAACACGTGCAGATTAGCAACCAATCTACATTCGTAGCATATCATAGACCACGCTATCCTGCTCTCGATACCTATACCTTACCACCTTAATTTATGGTGAATTCCTTCGTACTGAGGCACGTCTATAAGGCCGTAACCATTGAATTACAGCCTTTGTGGAATTTTATATTAGAGAGCATAACTTTGTTTACTAACGAATCCTACTTGAATACCAAAATATTTCAATAATGGAATACAGTATTTGCAAAAACGTAAACACTCAATTGAAATAAACATTCACTCATATATTCCATTACGTATTACGCAATTAATGTTTTATTGCCATCACGAAAAAAAATCCAATTTTTTCGTTTCTCCCATAAAAAGTCCCGCTTGTATTATTAATTCCCAAATCGGTTTATGATGTTTTGTAATTCCCGGATGAACCAAATATGAGGTTTTAACTCGTTTTACCATTATAATAAACACTAACCGTACTTCTGCGTCGATATTCATTTTACACACTTTAAATGATTGTAAACTCCCCCTATGGCTAAATGTAAATTGGTTTAATAAACAAATTTACGCGTTTAATTTTACGTTTAAATCGAAAACAATTACAATTTCTAATTAATTTCAGAAGCAAAAGCCAGGATTTTGGGACCTAGTGATATTCATGTAAAATCTGGTAGCTCCATAACACTAACTTGCATCATTAAACAAGGACCGCATGATTTAGGAACGGTATTCTGGTACAGAGGCGCTGATATATTGGACGTATCACCTCATCCGAACGAATTAGCAGGAAACGATAGGATTACAATCCAGGTAAATACAGACTAGCTATCATTCGTTTGTTGTGCAAAATATTGTATTTATCGGTAAATATTTGTTATCTCAAAAAAGGAAAGCAATTAAAAACTCGTCTATTTGCTCGGAAAAGTAAAAATTCATCGGTTATAACTTTTATTAAAAACTAAAATTTTTCTGTAACAATACTACGTTACATAAAACAGTTTTCAGTTAATGAAGGAATTATATAAAATAAAACAGGTCAATGCAGCAAAGCAATAAAAATAAGGATGCACAAACTCAGTTTGGAATTACACAACTCTCACCAGGGGGTGAGATGAAGTGGTGTATTTGTGCTTTAGTCCCGTTTGCCACTGGGCAATATTTGCATACGACACCGTCGACTATGTAATAACATAAATAAAGCCCGAAACGTCTCTCGTTGTTTTAGAACCACTGGACGGATGGTCTGACATCTCAATTGCACATTTCCAGTGCTACCATTGCTGACTCCGGAAACTATTCTTGCGTACCTACCATTGCTGCACCAACCAGTGTCGACGTTCATGTAATTAACGGTAAGGATAACAAATATAAGAGAAATAAAGAAATACTACATTAAAATTAAAAAATCATAAACCAGTAAATACTAATACTAAATACTAAATTCTAATAGTTTATAATAGTTCTAGTTTATAATAGAGTAGTGAATTCATCTCTCGTTAACATTGTAGAACAATTTATTGCCCAAGAAATTTAATTGAAAGCAACAATAACTTGGTGCACATATTTGTAATCAATCTGAATCCTATGTTTTCAATAGAAATTATTGAGCCTATTCATAAGTGCATTGTTATTCGATATTACACTTGTATTAGCTATTGTTATTACCTGTAATTGGTATATATTACCCCCAAGCAGTATATTAATTGATATGGGAGAATTGAATTTAAACGGAAATTTTAGTGAACCAGGTTGTTTAATATACCTACATATATATTATATACCCATTTCGTGTTGAATTTTTCGAATCTCGAATTTATTAATTAATAATTTTTGACTTGAAAATGTTTTTCCAACAAGAGAATAGAAATGACAGGTTTATGAGGTAAACTTTTATTTGTTTGCCTCCTCTTTCACTGGAATAACGTTTTTGGACATCTTAATAACCATTTTCTGGTAAAAAAATAAATTTAAAACCGATCATGGAGAAGCTAACCGATGGTTAGCTTTCATTGTTGAGATATTCCCTTTTAAATCTATTAATATTGTTGTCTTCAGTAAAAACTAAGCATTTGGAGCTAAATATCTCACGAATGAAGATGAATACGCAGATAACTTATTCTTCTTTTTCGATTCAAAAACTATTTTTCTATAAGTCAAACTTCTATATTTTTTATTAAACATGATAATTAATAACCTCCATACCAACCAGCGAATAGAAACGTTAAATTACACGAGGTAGTCTTTTATTAATTCGCCTCCTCTTTCAATGGGATAATTTTTTGGAAATCATACAAACCATTTTCTGGTAGAAAAATAAATTTCAAACCTATAATAAAGAGTACCATTTTATCCTGTTAGTTTTCATTCTTGAGATATTCCCTTTTAAATCTATTAATATTGGTGTTTTCACTAAAAACTAAGAATTTGGAGCTAAATATCTCACGAACGAAGATGGATACGCAGATAAGTTATTCTTCTTTTTCGATTCAAAAACCACTTTTCTATAAGCTTAACTTATATATTTTTTATTAAACATGATAATTATTAAACTCCATGCCAACAAGCGAATAGAAACATCAAATTACAGGATAGTCTTTCATTAATTTGCATCCCTTTTCGTTGGCATAATTTTTTGGAAAACTTGAAACCATTTTCTGGTAGAGAATTAAATGTATATAATAATAAAGAGTACTATTTTATCCTGTTAGCCTTCATTCTTGAGATATTCCCTTTTAAATCTATTAATGTTGGGGTTTTATGTAAAAATTAAGAATTTCAAGCTAAATATCTCACGAACGAAGATGGATACGCAAATAAGTTATTCTTCTTTTTCGATTCAAAAACCATTTTTCTATAAGCCTAACTTATATATTTTTTATTAAACATGATAATTAATAAGCTCTACACCATAAAGCGAATAGAAATGTTAAATTACACAAGGTAGTCTTTTATTAATTTTGATCCAGTTTCGTTGGGATAATTTTTTGAAAAACTTGAAAACCATTTTCTGGTAGCAAAAATACATAAATTACAAATCGATAATAAAGAGTACCATTTTATCCTGTTAGCTTTCATTCTTGAGATATTCCCTTTTAAATCTATCAATGTTGGGATTTAATGAAAAAACTAAGAATGTCAAGCTAAATATCTCAAGAACGAAGGTGGATACACAAATAAGTTATTCTTCTTTTTCGATTCAAAAATTATTTTTCTATAAGCCTAACATATATTTTTTGTTAAACATGATAATTAATAACATCTTAGTTATTAATAAACCTCAATTAACTTAATTCTCAGCCAAATCTCATGAATGCAGTAGATAAAAATTCAATTTTATTCATAAGAGTGTTTTGAAATAACCACGCTTTTTATTTACTATTGATTACAGTATTATTACAATATTTATAGATAAAGGCCGTTTTAGTTATTTCACTTGTGACAATATTTTTCTAGTTATTTATCCATATTAATAAGTTTTTAAATCATTTTAATAAAGGTTTATTGAAAAAGTATAACATTTTCAAATCACCAAAAGATCTATTCAGTAACACTACAACAGGTTACTACATAGGATAAACCCATTGGATGATTCGGAACATGACCCATAAAGAGAGCTTTTACTCAATTTTTTCAGCCTTTCAGCGTTTTTACAGAGTTTTCAGGATTTCACAATAACGTTTTACCGGAAGCTAAAGTGCGTTATAAACAAAATTTTGATTACATCCTTCGCAGTCCATATTTTTTTATTAAATTACCACATGATGGATAAATTACATTTTATACTCCCTTTCATCAATGTTTTGAATGATATATCAGAAGTGGCTTCAATTTGAAATCCCTCTTTGCTTTTTCATTTTGTAAAAATTTTAAACTTCACCGTCCAAAAACTTTTTCACGTTTTCAATTATTTTAAAAGTGGGTCATTGACGATTCGTTTTGGATGTCCGTACTATCAGTAGTTTGCCAATATTATCTGATCTAAAATCTGATTTTTTTAACTGCACAGGTATTTGTGTAAAGCGTAGATATGTACATACCACATTCTTGTTTTATGAGCTTTTTTTCATTATAGCATCAAAGAAGATCTTACAGACCAAAAGATTTACTAATATTTACTAATATTCCAAATCTTTGGTCGAAATGGTAAACTTATATTAAATCCCAAATTATTTAGCACGACACGATCTATCCCTTAATGTACGAAGATAAAGTTGCATTAATCCACGTTGATACATCAAGTTTAAATTACTCGGTTGCCTGTGTTTTCAGTAATAAGATATAAAGTAACATACACAATTAATTTGTATTTCAGAGACTTGATTTAAATACATATAAATCGGATACTCTGTTTCTGACATTTATTTTTGTTACAGAAGAGCACCCAGCGGCGATGCAGCACGGCAACAAGAATACAGCGTCTCTTTCACTCCATTGCACCCTTGTATATAGTATCACTGTCATGGTAATAAAATTCTTAAGATGAAATCTCTTGTAAATAAGACTTTTATTTTTCGAGACCGGGCGTTTTTCCTTCCTTTCCTCTATCATCAATTTTTTTATCCTACACTTCTTCATTCCCACATAGACACTGTTAACATGTTCGCCCAATTCTTCTCAGTTCTCCGTTTCTGAAATACGTCATACAATAAAATATTATTCGATCCATCCCTACATTAATAATATTGTAATTATTATTGATTATATCATGTAATATGTACGTAATAAGGAATTTTTGGTTTTTTATTGAATGTTATATATGAATAAAGAAGATAAAATAAATAAACTTTTTAGAAAAAAAAAATGTGTTTTTTTTTGTTAAACAATCGTTTATATATATAATCTAACCAGGTATGAATAACGTTCTTATCGCTTTCTTATCACTTTTTCCCATTCTCTTTAGATTCATGAATTTATTTCAAATTTGTCTGCATAAAATAGTAATGAACGTAAATGAAGTGAATTAATCATGCCTAATTATTTTGAGGAAACCATCGATAAAGCTATAACGTAAGTTCACTTTATTAGTTAAACCAATTTATTAATTAAAAGATTTAATTAAATTATGACTCAAAAATCAAGATAATTTCAAGTGTTTAATGTATTAACTTTTTAAATCAAATAAGTTTACATCATCAAAAATTGATAGTGCTGATAAGGAGGTATATTAACAAATTGATTTTGTATAAAAAAATATGCTAAAGTAACATTTTTAATTATTTTTATTAATTTTTTTAAATAAATACATATTTTTATCAATAGATGGCGCGACGAACAAACGTGTTACAGATTTCTACCCGTCAAAATTTAATACTTTTTGACATTTCACAGCTGACACCCCCCGTCATTATAGTTAGATAGCGCAAGATGGTTTTAATGTTTTTGTTTAAAAGTTTGTTTAGTGTTATGTTAAAATAGAACCGGGTAAATTCGAGTAAGTAAAAGAGATAAATATAAACTCGTCGTTTCCGATGCGTTTATTTACGTTGCGATACATCAGCCCGGTTCGATGTTTTTCTCGGCCCTATCTTGATATATAACACGATTATCACTTGCTTCCTTCCCGAATCTTTTTTTTTAGTAGATCAACATTGACGAAGATGATGCCCATCAAGGACAATCAGGATGTGGCATGCTTCTTTGTCACCAAACACTCGTGGAAGGGAAAGTAAGGATAGAATGAATGTAGAAGTGTTGAGTTTTTATGGGCTTATTTTTTATAGGTACAAAAGGATATTTTCAATTGGTTCGTTAGGGATTACTACTTACAATCCAAATACTTTAGAAGTCACAAATAAATGGGTTTATGGGGATTTTATTTCTGTAAATCCTTTGAAAAACACTGGAGGTGTTTCAAATGAGTTTCAAATTACAATGAGGAAAGAGAGAAAAATTGATAATATGAGGTTTTCAACTGAACACAGGGCTCAGTTACTAACTGAAGCCTTAAAATTTAGGCACTTATTTGCCGAAAAACCAAAAGAAATTCTGGTAAATTTAATTTTTTTAATAAATTTTTAATGTTAATAATTTTTTTTAGAGATACAATGCATATAAACTACATTGGTCAGATATAAGATTACCTGTAATCTTGGAAGTCACTCCGTATTCCTTGGATCAATTAGATCCAACAACAAGTCTTGTCTTAGCAAGTTATTACTTCAAAGATTTTGAAGGGATTTGTACAATGTCCGATCATCCAGGTGGATTTGTTATAGTTTGTGGAGGTTTTGGTAGGCTACATATGTTTCAATCACCTCATTTGGACGAAATTAAACAAAAAATGTTAGAAAATGCCACTGCTAACTTAGGCATAAACATTAAAGTCGTTACAGGAGCCCAAGCAATCACCTTAGAAGATTTTCAGCTACAAAGATTTGGAAAATACAGGTAAATTTACAAATATAGATTGTTTCTTTGTCAAATAAATTAATTTTGCATCTATTATTTCTAATGGTAAACATTAAAGTAAAGGCCTGATTATATTGAAAGTCACAGACAAATCATATTCTAATTTTAACAACATAAATAAAATCCTTGGGGATCATTAAAACACAGTGAGGTAGATCAGAACAAATTTGAATTTCAAATATCAAGGTTGAGGTCGTTGTTCTTACTTTGTAATTTATTTTTATTGCAAAGTTGTAATCATAAAATTAATTGTTGTAATTGCTGTTGTAAAATTTGCAAATAAGGTTTTGATTATTTCATAATGGTTTAAATTATAGCTGATTCAATTTTATGTAAATAAGTTTATTTAATTTTATTTTTGTAATTCATAGTAATCATCGTGCAGAACGTTTTTCAACGAGTTTTTTTGTTGCATGTTTTAAAGTGCAAATTTCAATTCTGAACTAAAGCAATTCTATGTTAATAGTTTTCAATCACTTCTTTTTAATTTTGACTTAATGTTTATGATTGAAAAATTATTATTGTTTTAATAAAAATTTGCTATAACAATTTTAGAAATGTATCACAAACACAAATGTAATTTTTTAAACATTATCATGCGCGATGTTATAAACTAGTCGTGTTTAGTCTGGCTTTAAGTGATTTTTAATCCTTTCGTGCGGTTGTTTCTGGCGTCAAAACAAAGGGATGCCTCCGCGCTTGAATATGCCTACAGTGATATAATAAAATTTACAAACATCCCAGAAAATGATGATAACTTCTAAACTAATTTAAAGTATACCAAGTATCCTATAACGGTATGGAGCGGCTTTATCTGGACAATGGTAAGGTCTAGAGGTTTGGAAAAAAGATCCTTATCAGCTGGAAATTATTTTCAAGTTCGCAATTTGACCTTCAAGTGGCGTAACTGCCACTTATAATATCATATATTATGATAGCTTGGATAATACAGCATCATATTGCTTTCCCAATCTGTGTTCAAATATTTATACTCACCACCACAGTCATCCAATCTCAACCCATTTAAATAAAAAGTAATAAAATAAAATGAATTTAAAGCTGCCATGTTGCAAGAACGACAGAATATTTCGCCTCGAAGATTAACAGCAATTCTTGCTAGCAAGGGAGAACCTACCAAATATTAACCGCTTAAGGACACACAATGAGTTTTGGCGCTAACCCGAGTTAACTCGGGCTTAAGCTCGAAATCACTCGTGTACAAACCTTGACAATTTGTCCGTTTAACACATCTTGCGCAGGCACTTTAAACATCACAAAAACACATCGATAACAATAATCCGTGAAAAGCGACTTTAGTCGGTTCCCACTCAAGATGTGAAATCCGCACAAAACGACTTTGGTCGCTTCCCGCGTAAAATGTGTTAAGAGTGATTATGTTTGGAACATTTTAGTATACATTGGTAAACAGACTGTGTTGGAGGAACAACATAAAATACTACCAGTGTCGTCACAAGTTATGCTTATATTAGCAAAGCCTATTTTGAACAAACGTTATTACCTTATAATGGACGATTTCTACAAGTCCCCACAATTAACCGATATTCTGATAAAAAAAAACACGGGCGTTTATGGCACCCTAAAATTATCCCTAAATGAAGGAGCCAAAGATCTCCAAGACAAAAAATTGAAGAAAGAAGAAGTCCTTAGCTTTCAAAGAGGTAAAGTCAGCGTCATAAAATGAAAGGATAAGAAGGACGTCAATTTGCTATTGACAGTTTATAGTATGAAAATGAAGGAGGTGCAAAAATGAAGAAATGAAGTGGTAAATAAGCTAGTGGTACTAATAGATTACAATGATACAATGGAGGTATTGATAACACTTCCCAACATCCAATATCAAGGATTTCCAATATTCAAGATTTTCTTGAATTCTGATTCTGATGAATCTAGTTACCGAAAACCACTGGAATATAGGATAGATGTAATTTGGGAAACTGTGAAAAATATCAACATGACAATTCTGCATCCCTAACCAAGGTGGGTCGACCCTCCAACGCTCTTCTTCCTCAGAGATTTACCGGGCGGCATTTTCCTGAATGTCTTTCCAGCAACTAAAAAGAAATAAAATCCCACTAGACAGTGTTTAGTTTGCAGTAGGATGTGCAATAGTCGCGGCAAGAAAATTAGACGGGAAATGCCGAAGATCTGGCGCCTAGGAGAATATATGTTTTTATTATACTTACTTGTTCTTTGTATTCGTTATATGTTATAAAAACATAAATAAATGTTTGTAGTGCAATGATACTGCTTCATGAACTTGTGATTAAGCATCAGGCAATCTTTGAATTTCTTTTTTCAATAACATTATTTTTTTTTGAAAATCAGCTTATAAGGATATGACAAAAAGAAATCGGGTCTAAGTGCTTAATGTTAGATCGGGCAGTAATGGGTTGGAGGAATTACCTATAGCTCATCGCTACTTCCATGTCTGGCCGCATAAACTCTTCCCCCTCTGCGTTGGGATCACCTTTCAGGGCATTTTACGGAGTAACCTCTTTCATCGCCAGGTTTCAGCAGGAGAGTTTATCATCAGCCGCGGAATCCTTCTGCAACCACCTCAAGTGCAAATGTATCTTAGAGAAACCGGAAGGGGGGCTTTTCATCCCAATGGCGATCCCCATCCGCCTTCGGGCATCAGTTCTGGTTTTCTGTACATTTTTTTTCCGTTTATACTGTTGTCCTTTATACAAGTAAGATCCAGAACCGTTAGTACCACATCAGTAGATATATGTAAGTTTTGATAGTGTTCAATTTCCTTCGTGGTCCTAATTGAGTCACAGCAAATGTGTGCCTATTCAAAAAATGTACTGCTTGAAGAACAACCAAGTCCTTTGGCTTTCAACTATACACAATTTTTATGCAGCTTGACGTATATCCGAAACGCTTCACACAGCTGATCTATTATCTCTCTAATCTTGGACTTGGATTGCCGTCTGAGAGATGCAACATTTGTAAAATCAGAAAATACTTGTGTTTTAGTGAACATGTAATCTAAAAGAAATGACAAAGGAGGATTTTGGCTAATATTCCAGGGGTTGACAAATAGGAGGGTTTTTAAGGATCAATCAGAATACGTGATACTTAATGACTATAACATAAGCAAGTTTGATTTGGTTCCTGCATTAATGGAAGTCTTCTGAAAAGAGTATCAAAACTGATACCGAAGTGACCAAAATATTTCAATTTATATGGATGTTCTATTGCCTGTTGACATCAAAATATGGACATTTAGGGATTAACAAAGAATTCTACGGAAATTATAATTAATCGGTTGTCTGTGGTTTCGGTCAGGAAATCGTTCTCTTGGGTTATTCTTCGAAAGTTCGATTTATAATATATAACTAGGAATATTGTTTGTAAAATATATTCATAAAAGTCAATTTTTTTTGCATTGACCTATAAATATAAAATATCGATTCGCTTGAGGTCAAGAAGCCGTCGGTGAAGCGCTTAAACCAACATCAAAAGCGATGCTGCCGAGTTTTACTACTGGTTAGCTCTTATTCTCTATCTAAACTATGTATGGTTTCGGCATGATTAGGAGACGGCTTACAAAACACGAATTATAATCGTCGGTGGTTTAAATTCTTTAACGTCTTATGCTTGTTTTTCGATAACATTATATGGGAAAAGATATCAGTATTATATGAAAACGACTATCATCACAAAGTTTCGCGAAAGAAATTGTAATTGAAATAATTTATTTGTCATTACATTAATGTTAAACATCAATATTTCTAATAAAATCGTTCATAACGTTGTTATCATCATTTATACAAAGATACTAAATTTAAAAAATATGCAACTCCGATTTTAGCTTTTGTTTATACAGATGTTCAATTACATTGAAATATTTATCTGTATTTTATAAAATAAACGCAACTTGTGTTTGTCTGATAAACTATTACATAAACCTATTTATTTTATTAAATAACATTTATGTATATAATTTTTTAAATTAATTTTAATCACATTTAACCCTTTACACTTATTTGTAGCGATGATGAACATTTAACATCAGTATCAGAATTTGCAGTCTATAAAATCCATAAAACGCGCCACCCTGATCCCGTTAAAAGAACACTTTGCCTATCGGAAACTTGTCTCTTAGAAAGAGATCCTCAAACTTACAGTATATGCACTTTAAAACCACTAAGTGACATTTTTGCGTTAGTTAGAGACAACGAAAATCCACAATTATTCAGTATCGAATACATAAGTGGGCAAATTCGGTCATATACAGCTACAGAAAGGTACCGGTTTCTTTACAATTTATAAATATTTATTTAAATTTGAGGCATTTTGAAGGGACGCCTTACTTGCATCGCTTTTGGATGGCGTTCGAGCATCTGGGAATCGAAACGTTCATGTTATTATGGCGCACACCGATAAAGGTCTTCGGGTAGGTCCGCTTTATATGCCTGTTGAAGAAGAAGTGGAGAGTATGCATATAAAATTTCTTCAAAATCCACCTCCTAGGAAAAGTTTTTATGAATGCGTTAGAAGATTCAACGCCAATGTTCCGTATAGTGGACTTTTGTATAGTGTTACTCAAGATGTAAGAAACGAAAAATGATTTTGTAATTTTTTGTAATAAAAATTTTTTAAGGGTATTTTCTCCGAAAACAAAGATAAACTAATAACCGCTGCTTTACAATCCCTCGTCCAAAAAGAAGGAGATCAAAAATCGGTAACCCCAATTGAATTAGAATCACAATTTCAAGCTTTAAGGCGATTGGTCGCTAATAAAGTTGGTTATGCTTCTTTTACTTCGTTACCAGGATTTCGGGAAGCGATAGGAATGAAAGTCGTAACAGCGCTTAAACGAAATGATTATGGGGTTACTCATGCCGCGATAGACATGATTTGCGCTTTAATGCACCCTATGCATGATGATTACGAATTGAGACAAGAGCAATTGAACAAATCCTCACTTTTACAGAAAAAAGCTTTCTTAGAAAGTTTATTGAATATGTGGACTACACACGTTGTAAGATATTTATTTGTTTAGTGATTATGTTATTTTTTTGCCTAAATGTTTTTGTAGTCACATGGAACAGGAGCGATGGTTGTTGCAGCAATGTTGGATTTCTTAACTTTTTCTCTTTGTGTACCTTATAGCGAAACAACCGATGGAAAACATTTTGATGTCTTATTAGAAATGGTTGCTGATAGAGGACGATTTTTATTTAGACTGTTTCAAGTAATTTCATTTAATATTACTTATTCGTAATTTAACTTTTTCATATTTGTAGCATCCATCATTAGCTGTAGTTAAAGGAGCCGGTCTTGTAATGCGTGCACTTATTGAAGAAGGTGAAGCGGAAGTAGCAGCACGAATGCAAAGCTTAGCTTTAGCTGAAGGTGCGCTACCACGGCATCTTTTAGCGGCTTTATACACCCAAGGATCTGATGGACGGTTACTTACACACAGACAATTATCGCGACATTTAGTGGGTCTTTGGGTTACAGGAAATCCAATTGCTATGGGTTTATTAAAAAGAATCATGGTAAATAATTATTAATTTAAAAAATTTTTAAACATAAATCTTTTTAGCCTAGAGGTTTGATCAGTTTTTTGGACTCCAAAGACGAGGTTCCAAAAGCAGCGCTCGAACAAGAACTACTTAACCATCGAGATAATTTGAAAATGGCTCAAGATCACTCAAATAAATTGAAAAAGGGCCCAAATTGGGCTGCTGTTGAGCGTCAATTAAGAATGGTTGAGAAGCGAGTTGAACATTATACAAATCTTGCCATGCAACATTGGGGAATTACCATAGAAAGGAAAGAAAAGATTAAAGAGAAACCGATTGTTTTGAGGAGGAGGCGAGAAAGGGTAAAAGCAGAAGCTAACTGGATATTATTTTATTACAAGTTTAATCAAGATCATGATTTACCTAATTTAATATGGAATCACAAGGTGTGTCTTTTTTTTTCTTTATACATTCCGTTTATTATTAGTTTAGTATTTGTAAACTTATGTGATTTTTTTAATTTATAATTTTATTAGACTCGGGAAGAACTTCGAAGTGCCTTAGAAAATGAGATCCGAGCGTTTACATCTGATCGTGAACTCGCTGGTTCGGCTCTTGTAGCGTGGAATCATCAAGAGTTCGAAGTCAATTATCAATGTTTGGCGGACGAAGTTAAAATCGGGGATTATTATTTAAGATTGTTACTGGAAATGGATGATAATGATGATTCTCCAATACGACGATCGTAAGGAATAAAGTAATTTTAAAAATAGCCTCTATAACATGAATTGTTTTAGTTACGAATTTTTCAATGATCTTTATCACAGATTTCTTTTAACCAATAAAGTCGAAATGAAATGTATGTGTTTACAAGCCATGTCAATTGTTTACGGCCGATATTACGAAGATATCGGTCCGTTTAGTGATACCAAATATATAGTAGGGATTTTAGAAAAGGTTATCTACCAATAAAATTATTCCAACACATTTTTTACTCTTAAATTCTTTCTTCAGTGTGTCGATAAGATGGAGAGAGATCGAATCATTATGTTCCTAACAAAATTAATTTTACACAGAAGGAACATTGGTGACGTTTTAGATTCTGGTGGAATAAGAATCTTAGTAGATTTGCTAACATTGGCCCATCTACATACTTCAAGAGCTGTGATACCGACCCAAACTAACGTTATTGAAGCAAGTCCAGATATGATTGTGGAAAAAGAAAAGGAATGGTATTACATTAACACTGAAGAGTCCGGTAGAAAAGGACCCGTTACGTTTAAAGAGATGAAAGAGTTGTTTCAAAAGGGGGTGATTAATCATCGAACGAGGTGTTGGGCGATGGGGTTGGATGGCTGGAGGAGTTTGGCTCAGTTACCACAATTAAAATGGACGCTTATGGCGAGAGGAAATCCGGTTTATAATGAAAGTGAATTAGCTACACAAATTTTAAACATTTTAATTAAAATGTGCGAATATTTTCCAAGTCGGTAAGTTCTGGATATAAAATATATTAATTTTTTATGTTGAAATTACAGATTTTGTTGTATTTTGTATTGACTTTTTCTTTTTGTAGTGATCAAGATGATGCTGTAGTTCGACCTCTTCCAAAAGTAAAAAGATTTCTATCCGATACAACAAGTCTCTCACATATAGTCCAATTATTACTAACTTTTGATCCGATTTTAGTAGAAAAAGTAGCTACTTTACTAACGGAAATCATGAGAGATAATCCAGAAATATCTAAAGTTTACTTAACGGGTGTTTTCTACTTTATTTTGATGTACACGGGAAGTAACGTGTTACCCATTGCAAGATTTTTACAACTTACCCATATGAAGCAAGCTTTTAAAGCTGATGATGTAAGTCCACCATAGTTTTGAATCAATTTTGTATTATTTTCAAATTTGTTTAGATGCAAATATCCGATATAATGCAAAGAAGCATCTTGGGACAATTACTACCTGAGGCCATGGTTAATTATTTAGAAAATCACGGAGCTGAGAAATTTGCTCAAATATTTTTGGGCGAATTTGATACACCGGAAGCGATTTGGAACGCGGAAATGCGAAGAATGTTAATTGAAAAAATCGCTGCTCATATAGCGGATTTTTCGCCGAGATTACGCAGTCATACAATGGCTAGATATCATTACATTGCAATTCCCGCTGTAAGATATCCTCAATTAGAAAGGGAATTGTTTTGTAACATTTTTTATTTACGTCATTTGTGTGATACGACGAAATTTCCTGATTGGCCTATTCCAGATCCGGTAATAACAAATATTTATACTAAAATTTGTTTTAAATTAAATTTATTTTAGATTAAATTATTAAAAGATACTTTGGAAGCGTGGCGATCCGAAGTTGAAAAGAAACCACCAATTATGACCGTTGAAGATGCTTATAAAAGTTTGGGCTTAGATGGCACTAAGCATGAAGAAGCAACTATAAGAAAAGCTTATTACAAATTAGCCCAAAAATATCATCCAGACAAAAATCCAGATGGAAGAGTAAATAATTATTAATTTAATTCAATATTTGTAATTGACTAAATTATTGTGTTTAGGAAATTTTTGAAAAAGTTAATCAAGCTTATGAATTCCTCTGCAGCCGAAGCAGTTGGAATACGGACGGTCCAAATCCGCACAATATCGTTTTAGTTTTACGAACGCAAAGTATATTGTTCAATAGATATTCTCAAGAGCTCCAACCATACAAATACGCCGGTTATCCTCAATTAATCAAAACAATCAAAATTGAAACTGCCGACGACCAATTATTTTCTAAAAGTGCTCCATTATTATCAGCAGCAAGCGAACTTGCTTATCATACTGTTCATTGTTCTGCATTAAATGCAGAGGAATTAAGGAGAGAAAATGGACTTGAAGTAAATTTAAAACTAATTTATTAAACTAATAATAATTTTTTTGTTATAAATTTAGGTACTTCTTGAAGCTTATACAAGATGTGTAAACGTCCTTAGCAATTCATCAAAATCATCAGAAACGTCCGTGCAAGTTTGTCAGCACATAACAAGATGTTTCAGTGTCGCAGCACAATTTCCGGCCTGTCGCGAAAGGATGATCGGCTTACAGGAACTTATCGGCGACATCTGTAGGATATTATATTTCCAAAAACTAACTAAATTGTGTTACACAGCAACCGAATGCGTAACAGCTTTAGCAGCTGATTCAATTTTACAAATGCAACTTTTAAAAACGGGGGCGTTATGGCATTTATTACTTTTTATGTTTCAATATGATTTTACTTTGGATGAGGGTGGAGTTGAAAAATCAGAAGACGCCAATAAACAGGAAGTGAGTAATCGTTTAGCCAAAGAAGCAGTCAGAGCTTGTGGAAGATTAGGGGGTTACTTAAAAGGGGATTTGGCCTCTCCAGAAAATCCTATTACAAAAGAAATTCTTAACAGATTGCTTACACCATACTTAGCTGATAAATTAAGTGAAGAAAATCCAGCTGAAATTTTGAAGATTTTAAATAGTAATTGTGAAACGCCGTATTTAGTTTGGGATAATGGAACAAGAGCGGAATTAAATGATTTCTTAGAAACGCAACGATCTGATAGGGAAGCAACCGATTTAACAATCGACACCAATTTTATTTATTCTGCTCATAAAGACGAATTGAAAATTGGTGGAATATTTATTAGGATTTATAATCAACAACCTACTTATCCAATTACAGTATGTTCTTTATTTTTATTTATTATTCAAAAAAATTTATAAAAACCCATTTATTTTTAGAATCCCAAATCTTTAGTAATCGAACTTCTAAGCTACTTAACCGAACAATACCATCACTTAAAAGATTTAGTAAATATAGCACTTTCCGTAACGATTGAAGATAGATTAAAAAATACTCCAATGGCTTTAGAAGCCTTAGCCAACATTATCAAAAATAACCAGGGGGTTGAATTACAATGTATAGGGTTTTTCAAACTTCTTTTCCATTTACTTAACGTTACTCACACTCCCATTCAAAGAGCTGCTCTCAACATTATCTCAATAGTTACCAGAAACAACGAATGCGTCAATGATATCGCAGCAAGTGAAGTGTTGGGTTGTTTATTATTGCTTTTGTATAGTCTTCAAGATTGTCAACAACAAACTTTGGATGTTCTTTACGCGTTAATGTCCACGACGAGAATCGTTAAAGAATCTTTGGGTAAAGGCGCGGTTATTTATTTGTTGGATTTGTTTTGTAACTCAACCAATCCGCAAGTTCGGGAAATCTGCGCGGAGTTATTAGCCAAAATGAGTGCTGATAAATTGGTTGGACCGAAAGTTCGTATTGCTGTTAGCGCATTTTTGCCTCCTATATTTGCGGACGCGATGAGAGATAGCCCTCAAACGTCTGTACAAATGTTTGAGTCCGCTCATGAACACCCTGAGCTTATTTGGGACCAAGAAGCTAAAGATCGAGTTTGTGGAGCTGTTGCAAAATTAAGAAGAGAGTAAGATTTAATGTTCTGATTTTATTTTTTTTATCATATTTATTTTAGACATCAAACATTACAAGCTGGTAATCAAGCAACATTATGGAAAATGCCAGATAGTAATGGTCTTACTAATTGGGCCACACCAAACGAATTTGTTGTTGGTGGTGTGTATTTGAGGATTTTTATATCCAATCCAGCGTGGACCTTAAGAAAACCAAAAGAATTCCTTTCTGAACTCTTAGAAACCTGTCTCAATATAATGACTAAAGATAAACCGAATGTAAGATTTTTTTAAAACTTGATTTTGAATCAATTCTTTACTTTTTTATTGAATAATTTAAGGCCGACCAATTGGAAATGGGTACAACAGCCCTCTGTGCCTTACTTCACGCACAACCCGCCCTTTTGGATTTAATTCCATCAATGGGACACATCCCAAGACTTTGTCGACAAATGGGCACAAATGTTAGGCAAACTTGTGTACCCAAATCTGCGATTCAAATATTACACGCGCTCTCTATTAGCAATGTAAATACTTAATATCAATCTAAATTATCTCATTTTCTTATTATTTTTGTTTTAGATTTGTGTAACTGCAATAGCTCAAACGGAATGCATGCACCCTTTAAAACAAGCGATGCAAGTCAGAAAAGATATGATAGCACTCGCTTGCGAAGCATTAAATAGATTATTTTCATCAAATCAGGAACCATTGGTTAAACAAGCTCTAGATGTCGATTTCGTACAGTATTTACTGGATTTATTAGATGGGAAGTTAGAATTGGAAAATCCTGCAATGACCAAAGCCCAAATTGTCAAAGCTTTAAAAGCTATGACAAAAAGTTTAACTTATGGCGAAAAAGTTTCCGCTATTTTAGAAAAAAGTTCGATTTGGGCGGATTATAAAGATCAAAAGCACGATCTCTTTATTTCTAGTGGACCAGCCATTGGTTACTTAACAGGTATGAACATATAATGCCTGTTTTGGTTTAAAAGTTCTGAACAGTTCTGAACCTTTCTGGCGCATACATATTACATATTATATGTATGGGCGGAAAGGTGCAGAACAGTTCACAACTATAGAACTCTTGAACCAAATCAGATTAGTTATTCTTTAGTATCATTTCATCAACATCTTTGGCAAAAATGGTGCAACAGTAAATAACAGCATAATATATGTGTACAGTTTTCATTATTCTACTATCAAAAAAAAATCGTGTAGTTAATTAATTTTATTATTTAAAAGAATACATATCATCCACCATTTAACAGAAGCAACAGCAGCTAAGATCCCATTACAAGCGTCTTTACGGGCTCAATTCTTGGGCACACATCATCTTGTACGGGTGCAGGTGAAGGTTTGAGTGTAAGATTTGCCTTACAGTTCTGGACGATATTCGAAACGCAGAGCGGCATGTTTTAGCGCAGATCGGGTTGGAGATTGTTCAATTGATGCTCTTACTGCCGCAATGTTTTAGGGTGTTCGCACAATTTTATGTCGACCAACTGGTTTTTTAGGAGCTGCTGATCCTGTCGCCCTTACGCTACTAATTCATTTCTGAATGTATTTATTATCAGGAACACTGTCTTTACAATTTAACGCGAACCGGAACTGAAAAGCCCTCTGCGGCGCTCCAACGCTTTCCCCATTTTTAAAGAACGTCTCCAGAACAAAGCCCCGTTGGTCACCTACCCACAGCATGTTGACTACTGAGAACGATATTGTCACAGAATAACCAGAAAGGACACTGATGTTGGAGGAACCGCATTTTTTGACTTCGATTTAAACTCCGCTATCTTTAAGAAGTCGAGAGACTTTGCCAAATCGTTTAGTTATCAAAGGTACATCAATAACAAAAAGAACAAGTTCTAAAACATGGCGTCGCCGCACAGACAGTGTTTTGGCGGGATACCTCCAGTGTCATTTCTGATTATTCTGTGGTATTGTTACCCCTACCTAACGACCTCTCTATTCGGTCTGGGCGCTCTACAGTGATTTTTAGAATCTAGGGTCTGTAGTCTGCCCGACCCTGTATGTGTTTGTGCTTATTTTAATGCCCATAGTTTCCATTATTTGCACAATTGATCCAAATCCATCGTTCTTCTTATTCATTTTCTAAAATAGGCTAAAGCCTATTCCTTCATCGATTTTTCTCTCATCTATATGCTGTCATTCCATCTTCTTCTGCCGACAAGTGATTTTTTGTTGGTACTCACACAAGTCTGTTAGCTACCATTCTGTTGGTTCCATTCTTGTCTTCTGTTTAGTATCCATTCCTTAATATTTCTTATTTGTATTCCTATCTTATGTCTTCCCTTCGCTCTCTGTCCCATAACGTTTTTCCTGAAATCTTCATAACAATTTTCATCTCAGGTGAAGCAAGAAGTCTTCTCGTTTTTGATATATCTGGTCTCGTTTCCGCTGTATAATCCTGGTTTGAGAATTCTGTCATTTTAAGGTTGAATATTTGCTCAATCGTGAATAACTTCTCGTCAGTGCTAAGCTTGTCTTTGAACTCCGCCACTGAGAAGTGTTTTAGAAGTTCGAGACATCTTTGAAGACGTGTGGCCTTCATCTGTTCTGTCAAAGTGTCAGTCTTTTGCATCTTGATGCTTCATGATCCCTGTGCACAGATTCACGGCTGATCTTAGCTGCATTTCCATTTTTCTGAGAGTTAACCATCGTGAGAATCACGGCAGTCTTTCGAATTCCACTTCTGGGACAATCTCGGATGCTACTGGTCCCCAATAATGACGGGATGTGCATTTGATGCCTCTACGGGAAACTTCAGTGATTTTTCCGATCTCCTTTTGAGTCACCCCGGCCTGGCTCATCCTCAAAATCGTGGCACGGTCTACGTCGGACACCATTACTTGAAAACGCACGAAGTAATCATTTGGATTTTTGGAGATTAACTTTAGTAACAATATCGCTACAACATCGAAAAGTTAGTCTTCTGGACTTCTGTGGACATTACCCTAAGTTTGACTAGATTAATGAGGTTATCAACTTACTTGCAATCAGATCTACTGGTTTTTGCCTTCACAGTTTTACCACTGTAGTTTTATGTTCAAGTCTTGTAACTTTGACCTTGAGAATCTCTTGCAATTAGTGTTGCAATAAAAAATATAAAAATGCCAACAGTTACTAACAATAAGACTAAATTACTAACATAACATTTTTTCTCACTCTTAACCAACATTTGCAAAAAAATTTTAATAAATTTCTATTTTTTAAATAAAAATTAATCTGATGTTCTTTAAAAATCCGCAGCTGGTACACCAACAACTGCTGGATACTTAACACAAGCTCCAACTGCTACGAAAATGAATACCGCTCCACCTCCAGTTGATAAAGATGATCCATTATTAAGAACAGGCGGTCTTTGACACAGTTGCGGAGGGAAATTCGAATTTATTTCAGTTTTAGAGTGTATATACTCACATTCCGGATGGTTCTATTTGAAAAGCGAACGAGTAAAGTGATTTTATATATAAAAAAAAAAATAAATAAATAAATTAAGGAACAAACTGAAGAACTAGTTACGTGTATATGTATGTACTATAAAAAAAAATAACGGCAACATACAAAAAGGATTTACAGACAAAAAAGAAGTGTAAAGTATTTGTATTTTAATAATTGTTAAGGTTTAAGTATCAACAACCTTTTTCCTATTTGGATATTCCTAAGTTACGCTTGTTTACTGTTCGATTTGTGATTATTATAATTAATATTATTGCTTCATTATTTTTCTTGTTTTAGTTATTATTCCTTTCTTGTTTTTTTTTTTGAAATTGTAAAATCTATATTGATCTAATTTATTTTTGTAATTTGCCGTATTGTAACAAAATTAAATAAACATTGAATATTATATAAATTGGTTTATTTCAATTTAATTCATTACAAATTGAAAAATATATAATAAATTATCCTAAAATATCCTTAAAAGTGGTGCTTTGGTAACCAAGATCAGATGAGGGTACATTACTAAATAGAATATACATCCTATCTTCTGTGATTCCCAATTCTGGAATAACAGCATCAAAAATAGCTTTGGAATGTTTCTTATTTTGTTCAACCCCAAGTCCCCCAATGCTCATTAATGTGGCTTGAGCAGCTGGTTCATCAGTTCCACCCCAAGACATATTAACATCTCCAACCAACGTTACAACGCAATACTAAAATTTAACCCGCCTTAAAAACGAAAGTAAATCAATAATTATCTTACCCCAAGAGGTTTTCCAAGACTCTTAGCGATCACCTGACAAAGTTTTGCAGGTAAATCTTTAGGAATTTTAATTTGTGGAACGTTCGTTTCGATTCTAAGATGCGGCATTTTTAATTGAATGTGTTGTTGCGAACCAACTGAAGGTTAAATGGTTAAAACCAAGTGAAGTTAGCTGAATTAAAAAACTTGGAAGTTGAACTGGTTGAGTCACAAGCGAAATTTTTAAAAAAAGATAAGATTAGCATTATATCGAAATGTGTTTGAATTCCAAAAATTCTTTAGGTATAATTTTAGGAATTATAATAAAATGAAAGGATATTTTAAAAAAACGTTTATTGTAACTTAAAATAAAAACAGCAAAGAAAAAAATTAATAAATACTTCATATTTTATTCGTTATTTGTGAATGTTCCACCGTGGTTTAACGTATCTATCGACGAGTTTCGGTATTGTAAAGTCTTTGGCATTACTCGAATGCGTGTTATTTATATCTATACATGTATTTAAATCTATGTGTAAGTATTCCATTTCATCCTCCATTAGTGCTTCAATTGAATGTCTTATTTCCGTAAAAGTAGGTCGATCTTTTGGGCTCATTCTCCAACAAGAACTCATTATATCATATCTAAATATAAAAAGATAATTAAATAAATAATTAATTATTAAATTATTAAGGATTACATTTCATTTCCACAATTGCTAGGACATTCCATTCGATATCCAGATTTTAATAATTTTAAAAGATGTTCAGTTTGTACTCCAGGATAAGGATTTCCACCTAAATTTATAATTTCCCATAGTAAAATACCAAAAGACCAAACATCACTTTGTGTGGTGTATTGTTGATGTGTTAAACATTCCAAAGCCATCCATCGGATTGGAAGTTTTCCACCCGCGGTTTTCCGATAAACATTGTCTACATAAACATCTCTACTTAATCCAAAATCCGATATTTTCACAGTTTTATCGTCACACACTAAAACATTACGAGCTGCTAAATCTCTATGCAAAATTTTTAAATTAGCCAAATATTCCATTCCAATAGCAATCTGTCTGGCAAACGATAAAAGTTCTTTTGGTTGGATAACCTCGTTTTCCATTTTTAACCGATCGAAATCGTAAATTCGATTTGAAACGGCCATATCTTGATTTAAATAATCCGAAGAACTGGAAGAAAAAATACTTTGATGATTATGTTTATTACAAATTTATCAAAAAAACTTACAGATTTATGATTTTATTCCAAATCGATTTCAAGTAACTTTGAAGATCACCTTTTGAACAATACTCAACAACTAATAACGGACCGTGAGATTCTTTGAGACTAAATCCAATTAAAGAAACTAAATGGGGATGATTTCCGACGGTTTTCATTATTTCTAATTCTTGTTGGAATTGACGCAGTTCATCAAATGTTGGGGCATCTGAAATTAATTTTAATCTTTTGTATATACAATAGTTTTTAAATGAATATCTTTTATTTCAGAAAATAGATTTACATTTTCAAACTGGTCGAATTGTGTTAAAATGTATTGCGCAAATTAAACCCGAATATGTAAGGCTTAAAAATAAAATTTATAAATGAAACCATATTAAAACGGGATAAATAGGATAAAACGTGTTTAAAAGACGTTGGATTGGGTTAATTTGGCAGAAAAACGTGATATAACAAGATTCTTTTTATTAAAAAGGGGATACAGTTGAAGTGGTGTCTGTAAGGTCTTTTATTTCATTAATGCTTTTTCTCTGCCGATGTGCAGAAAAACACAAGGATAAGAAAAGATAAATTGGAAAGTGCAATCTTGGTAGTAGCCCATCTGTAGAACATATACTAAGTTTTGCCAAAAGAAAAAAAATCTCGACAGATTGACATCAAACCTTATTCATGGAAACTTAAGATCAAGTCAATAAATCATGATTAGAATAAGCGGTCAATATTGTTCGAACGTTCAGACACCGACGAATTTGTATAGGTCCCTCTAATACTGCACAGTTTGGACAAGAACCTGAAAAACCATGGAAGAAATTACCGGTATTCTGATTCACCCAATTCTTTGGCCATTCTCAATGAAATATTCTCACTAATACTATCTTCACTCCGAGTAGGTGAACTTATTCTTACTGTCTGAGGCTATCAAGGGTGTTGATGCAGATGGCATTACTACCTCAGGTTGCTCTAGGCACATCGCGCGTATTGGCAGAAAGAACTACTTGTGGCTATTGTGATCCCACACAGACAACATACCCGAAATAGGTTTTTCTGTAATATGTCCGAATCCATAGATCTACCATTAACAACTATTAAATTCATCTAATTTTCATTCTTTCGTATATTTCTCGATATTTATGCATTTGAGAGCAAAAGTGAAAGAGAGCAATATTGTTTAGAGTAAAATTTACTATAACTTTTGCCCTAAGTTTTTCTGTAATATTTCGGAATCTCGTGTTTTACCATTAACATTTTGTTAATTCATCCAATTCCATATTATCGCATGTTTCTCAATATTCATGCATCTGAGAGCAAAAGTGGAAAAGAACAAAATTGCATAGAATAAAATTTACTACAATCTTTGCTGTAAAACTTTTTCATCAACATGCTAAAATCATCTCATGCTAAATCGTAAGATTAACTTTGGTGTTAAATTTTTATAAAGTATGCTTTATACAGAGAGTTTCTGCAAGTCGTGGCATAATTTTAATCACAAATACTAAAGTGAAAATGAAAATATTTTCAATATGGTTTGGCTTAGAAAGACTAAATTTGGCTAAAAGTGAACACCTGTATAGTATTGATCCAGTCTTTGCATATTTCTCATGATAACATTGCACTGTTTGCCAAATTTTATCTTTCTAAGACAAACCATATTGAAAATATTTAAGAAAATGTCTATAAATTTCTTAACTTGATGGCCTCTATCTTCGTCGGGTTTAGACCAAAAATTTTTACACAAATCGTCATCCTTTTAACTTACTGCCACGACTTACAGAAACAACCTGTATTTGCATTGAAATCGTTTGTTTTAATTTTTTTTTCAAAATTTGCAATTCACTAAAATATTGAAAAATTAAAAACGTGTTCATTTTTATCAAGAAAAATATGACGAAGAATTTAAAATATTTAACAATAACAAATGCTGCATTTTACAAAACTATTTAGTTGCGGCAAAGTAGAAAAATAACCTGATGTATCAAGATAAAGTTGAATTAATCAATTTAACTACGCAATTAAACTATTAGCGAATATTTACATATTTCGAGAATAATTTCAACACTTCATCTGCTTGGAAATTGATAACTATAAAAAACGTAGACTAGTAATTGATATAAACTTGATATGTGAACCTATAATTAAAATTAGCCATGAATTTAACACAAACTCAACTTTTTTAATGTATTAATTAATTTTATTGCTTACTTTTCAACATCTTCACGGCTACCTCAAATTGTTGCTCGTCCTTTTTCAACCAACCATAACGAACAATACCGAAAGCACCTTGACCAACAACCGCTTCCAAAGTAATATCTTTCGGGTTCACCTCCCATTCGTCACCCAAATAGCCTTGCATTTCAAAATTACAAATCGTTTCACTTACGTAAGATGGATTTTTTGTAGTTATTTTTAAATGCTAAACTCAAAAAATTCATGGTTAAACTCAAAAATCTTCAAATCAAAAAAAAATTACCTTAAAATATTGTGGTCTTTGTAGTGCTAAATCTCTTCTTTGCTTATATCGCATCCAAAACATTTTTGCAGCTATTGTTGTACAAACAGCAATCGTTACGCTTAAGATAACAAAAACGATGATTAAATAGTAACTTGTTCCTGTTAATTTGTGATGTGCTTGTTTGATTTCACCACTAAAGCTAGCTACTTTACTGCTTCCTTTTTGTGACCAAGCAGTTATAAAAACGTGGTAAAAATAATTAATGTGGACGTTTTGTAATAAAACTGACGTTTCATTCTATTAAAAAACACAAAATTAAAATAATCTACAAGGATATAAATCCAATAACCTACCCCACTTATATTTAAAGTCATTTTAGATTCGTTTAACCCATCAAAAGAAACTTCATAATGATCTGGTAAAAGACTAGGTTTGGCCCAAGATATATTTAAATTGAAAAGTGAATAATTTTCGACTCTGTTAATATAAATTTCGTCGACTTTTATGTTTGTTGGGGGATCAGGTGCTGAAAAAAAAAGTAATTAGAATATATTCTTCAGAAATTCTTGTATAACTTACGGCATATTGATAAATTTTTATGTAAATGTAAACAACTCGGTGTTTCGAAAGTGATAGGTAAACTTTCGCTTTCTTTAGAAATATCTTTAGACGTCGCTTTTATTCGAATCGTATAATTTTGACTATAATCTAATTGAGGAATTGTAAATCGAAATAACGAATTTATCTGGAATAATTAAATTCAATTTAATTAATTTTTTTTTAATCAATGAACGCTTACATCTTCAATTCTTCCTTCTTCAACATTTAAATCTTTAAGGTAAACGTAAGAATAGTAACAAGATAAATCTTGGGCAGGTTCAAACTCGACCAATGCATCGACACCTTTATGACTAGCAACAAATTTATCTAATTTAATCTTTTCAACGGGCATAGGAACGTCGTCATTGGAACTTGTCCGGCAAGAAATGCAAATGTGAGGTTGAAGAACTTTACCAGTATCGGTTATTAACCAAGTTCTAACATGATAACGAGTAGCGCTTTTAAGATTTTTAATTAAAAATCTTTTCGATTGTTTCATAGTTCCATTTTGGGCAAACCGCCATTTAGAATCATTGAAATTGGCGATTTCAGAAACGAACGTAAATTTTTCTACAGTTTCACCTCCTAACTGAAACGCTAAACTATCGTTATCTCTGCATAGTAACGTTTGGAATGTGCTGTATTTTTTTGTCGTCGTTGTGCCTATAAAGTGTTTTAAAAATATGTAGATAAATTTATTTCTAATTTTTGTTGAGGTTGTAGTTATGATTTACATTTTAAATAATGGTATTTTTTACTATTCACATAGCGCTGAGAACGTAAATTACTATAAATAAATTAAATAAACTTTCCTTCATTAAAATATAATCGAATAGGAATCAATGTTTGGACAAAATAATTCAAAGCGTCAACGAAGTCAAGGGCGGATACACCATGGGACAGAAATCCTTGAGAATCTCATGTTATGTAGATGATGGCGGAAAACGAGAACGACTTACAGCGAATTCAACCCACAATGAAAGGAGTAAACATAGAGATATCCGAGGAAAAAACGGAAACAATGATGATATCGAAAGAGCATCAGGTGCAAATCATTCCATTAGCCGATTAGACAGAGCCTGTTCTATAGGTATCTGGGCGTTGACATTTCTAGCTGCAGAAATTTGCATCAGGAAGTTGCACAAGTCTACAAAGGCTTCAGAATAACTAAATATCTCAGAGACATCGTTTGGGGGAACAAATACATGTCCAAGAAAAGCAAAGTCCGCATCTACAAAACGGATGACTTATCCATCAGAAACTCGGGCAGAAACGTCAAAAACCAAGAGGACGACAAGTATTGGGCGAAGTGGGCACAGAATGAGACACCGAGTTCGAGGAGACCTGTCGAACGATCGTCGAAAATGTGGCACCAATACTGGACTTCAGCATTCCAAGAGACCTGATGAAGTAGAAAAAACAAGACATGGTCTTAAATAAAGACGAAGAAGAAGACAAAGACATTGGGAAAATAGCCAATGAAAACAAAGAAGTTCTTAGAACCAGAAGTTGCTAACTATAACTTGCTTTGTACTATCCCACATACAAAGACCAGAAAACGTTTATCGTAACGATAAACTTAAGTATATAAGACAATTATAAGACCTATTATGTAGAATTTGTTAGCCGAATAGAAGAAGGGAGACTACCAAAGAAAACTATCAACGCTAGAATGACTTGGAAAACACTGGTGGGCAGCCAAATAAGGAGCCACATAAAAAAATTAACAATTTTGACATCATCATCTATGTAGTATTATTATTGGGCAAACGGATTCTTTTGTTATATCATAAACCCAATAGGATATTCTGTGCTGCCTTACTTAGGTTTTCTAAGAATACTTTAGTTTGGTTGGGTTGGGTTCCCCTCAGATGTAAGTAACTACGTAGGAACCGGCTTTGCAAACTCGAGATCACCCGAGCTGGAGGAGCAGACCTCGATAAAAAAACTAGGGTTCGCCTAGCACGGGCGGTATTATCCTACAATGGCTTCTTCCCTAAGGTACAGATGAAAAGAAGAGTTTTCCAGGACTAGCACGGCACCGGGAGTGTAGCGTTTTTAGTGCAGTGTATTGTCAAGATCGACACGGTGCGAAGATGAGTTGGATAGTACCCGTAATCCTTATGGTTGCTTCTGCCAGAAGGGTGAGTGCCTACCGACCTAGTTCCTAGTTCAACCTAGAAGTTGGTAGAATAGGAAGTATAGATACTAAAGGAAGCACAGACAAGAGGAAAGATAAGGTCATACCGTTCTTAAATATTATAAACAGAAAAGAACTTAATTATTAACATTAGTTACATAGCTTATACATATGTACATGAAGTGGGAAACGTGGATAAGACCGTTTACAAATCATTTAAAATAAATTTCTACCACGATTGTTATGTTTGGGTAATTATTCATCCAGGCGAAGTGATAACATTATATGACATAGTTGGCCTATCCAATAGCTTCTAGACCCACCCCATACAATGATACAGTAATTTAATGTTGAGTGAATTAGTGCAAAATCAGAAAATGTTTCTTTAATATGAATATCAAGAAAGCTCACTGTTATACCTAGAAATTTGATGAATGACATAATTTCAGTTAATCCTTAAAAAATAGAAGACCGTTCTTGTACAAAAAATTCCTCAAAAAAAAACGCAACTCTTTGGAGATTATGTAGAAAAAACCTTTCGCCCTGTGATTTGAATGAGTACATTTCAAGTACAAATCTTCAAAGCATGGTGCCTATCGTAAGCTAACCAGATACAACTTAAGTACAAACAAAACACCGAGATTCGATTTGATATCCCACCTTTATGCCAAAATGCGTCCCATCTCTCTGGAAAACAGCACAGTACCAAAAATATATATTTGAATAATTAGTGCTTAAAGATTAACATCAATTCTTGATCCAAGGAATTTCAGTTTGATTTTCGAAGCGATACTCACCCATCATTAGTACATAGAATCTCTAATATTGTTGAAATGACTCTAAGGGCCGATTCAGCAGTCACAAAATAAACTCGGGATAAGCATTTCTCGATAAGCCATGAGGGGAGAGGGGGATACCCTTTAGTCGGAAAAGATGATACTGGTGTCTGTTTCAGACTGCACATCGCGTCCTTATTTTACCTACATAAGAAATAAAGGCTTTTCCCCTCTCTTCCCGCATGGCTCCGACGTTTACAACCTAAGTTAAAAATATTGCAAACGCATCGTCTAAGAGTCAACATCTATGGCAGCTTGCATTGGTTAACACTTAAAACGACTTAGTTAACCGTAAGCCCTAGGCGAAAACTGATTGACTGAATTAGGTGCAATTCTCAGAGGTCCAACCTTAATGGAATCGCGACAATAATTTGCGGCGGTGTCCGAATCTTCCCCTTGAACATTTTTGAATGAAGGAACTTCCTTCCTATGAAGCACGGTGAAGTGAATTTCAACCCACCATCTTCGACAGTCATTCAAAAATAAGTCAGTACTGGGACATATCGGGATCCATTTAAAATAAAATATTACTGAACCCAGCCGTTGTTGAGGCAATGCAATTTTTGCACAATGCTGTTTATTATTTATTATTCAAGCTACTAGTGCGGTGGATCTTAAGATGTAGGAGACGAAAGCTGCTCACCACCCCATTTTTACAAAAATCGCAAGTACAGGAACAAGAATTAAGTACGGCCACTGGATTGAGACGATATGATGTTAATTGTTATTTAAATAAAACTTCGCAACCTGGCTATACAATAGTTACTTATATGCCAAAATCACGAAGTTTTATTTCCCTAACGAATAAAATTGGGATTCGATCTTCCCCAGCTGGCCCAGCTGGCACAGACTTATTACCACACTAACCTGTGTTTGACCAAGCATTTCCACCATGCCGCAGTTTAATAAGAATTAATATTCTTCCTGATGCTACGAATCATGGCACAGTCATGAGTTTAATGGATCATTCCCAACACTGTCTGTATCAATGATTTAACATATATCCTAGTTTTGCAATAATTCCTTCTGTTGGAGTTTTTGAAATGTAATTGTTATTTTATGTTATTAGTAATTCCAGGAAAAATGCTACGAAAAACAACCGCTTTGAAATTCGATTTGGAAATGAAACCCATCTGATTACCGTCCAACGACTCCATCTCAACATCAACAAAAAGTGTTCCACAAAACAAACTTGTATAACTTCAGATGAATTGATTCAGAACATTTTGATATTACTAAGACAATATCACACCAAGAGGATTGCGATTAGCCACAGCAAGTCTTATAATATTTTTATCATCAACTCCGTGCCACCATGCTGAAATTAAAAATTCCTGTACAACAATTTTACAACGAAATTTTATGCTCAGAAGTAATCATTCCAACTATCAAAATGTCTTAACACACTTTTAGACTTTTGGTGCATTCAACTTGTTGTGGCTGAAGGTGCTGTTGTGGGGCTATTTTTAATCAGAAAACATACCCTGAACAATTTTTAAGAAATTTTAGTTTATTATATCAATGAATGATGTACTTTTTTGGCTTTTCTTCGGCTTTTTGGAAATCGTGAGCCATTTTGTTATGCGTATTCAGTTGCTTCATCAGTGTTTGCTTCCAATACATCAATTGGTTTAGATGAGAGATTGTGTTGGTGAATGTTGGTTTTGCCAAAGTTTTTAAATAAGTTAATAAAATAAAAATTGTTTTTTGGCAACAATAAATAACTAATAATTTATTTACCACATCAATAATAATAAACAACCTCAACAAAAAATAAAAAAAGTTAAAAAAAAATTAGAATACCAACCTTCAACAGCGATAGGTTTTTGAATACAGGTAGATCGGTTCAGAGACTCCTAAAAAAGAACATTTCGAATAATCGCCGACTTAAAAATTATACTAGGTAATCTTTTTCTTATTTTGTTTGAATATTTTAATCCTAAATCAGTACAATAACCTAAAATGATTTTTTGATATTTATTTTTGTCTCCTTTTTTCTATACCCAAAAAACTGGAACTTAACTGGAAAGAATTTAACATCTCGGGTTCAAGATTCTCAAAATCGGTGAAGGTCTAGATTAAGTTAGCCGGCTTTGGCAGGTAAATCTTGTAAATGTGCCGAAGGATATCTTAGTATCGACGTGGAGAAGTTGACCGCGGAAGCGATCGCATAAATTTGTCTACATTGTCTGGGTCTGGTGCATAAATGAATAGGTAATTACAACTGGATGGAATTGCTAATGGGTGCTCTATGGTAAATGGTAAACTAGCGGGATTTTGCTTGTTGTTACAAAAACAGCGTTGATATGATTTCGATGACATTTCAAAAAAACAATTTTAAAACTATTAGTAAATTAAATTAGAAAGTTTCTTTTTCGGTTTTATTTAAAATTAATAAAGAAAAATACGAAAACAATTTTTAAATTCTTAAAATCGATTTGTTATAAATAACCACAAACAACATAACCGACGTTAAAGTGCATACAGTTTTTCTAATAATTAACTTCAAACCGGTTAAAAATATAAATTAAGTTATTTTTTTTGCGACTTCTAATAAATTAGCAACTAGACTATGATAATTTTCATCTGATAAATCAATTTACAATTTAACTTGCTTATTTAATTATAATTTATATGTAATTACACGATATGTATACCTATTGAAATAAAAATGTAACGATTTCTCTTAGTTCTATCCCAAAGATTTCACACTTTCTCCTTTTAACATGTTTTTCTATAAATTTTAATTTAAAGGCGTATAATAATGATCATAACAGAATAATTTCACACATAAAGTTCCGGTGAATTATCATTATTCAACTACGCATCAGTGACAATAGAAAAGTATAATAGCAAGAAATTACCAATTATAATTTGAAATAGATTTCGAGAATTTACGCAAATCAAAAATCAACATTAATAAACTATCGATCATATATCATTGAAAATAATTTCTCAAGCATCAATTATTATTGCACTTTATAATTGCGGTTGGCCAATTATCAAACTCTTACCACTTTCGCCAGTTCGGAGCAAATCACAAATTGCGTCTTCGGATCCAAATCATCATATTCGGTTACATTTGAAAAAGAAAAATTCACGAATACACACAAAACATAAAAAATTAATAAAACGTATTTGTGTAGCATTGTAAATTACATCGTATAACTTGGAGAATTATTTTAGAAGAAAAATTGAAAATATAACGAGTAGAAACGCGCGGTTGAAGAATTCAAAACAAACTGGCTAAAACCCGCGAAAACTGATAAGGTGACTCTATTAGTTGAAATAAAAAAAAATAGTGGGGATAGTGAGGGGATACCGACTGGGGCTGTTTGTTGCATCGGCATTTTTTAAACAACCTATGTAATTTGAGTAATTACGAAAAAAATTATTAGACACCTTGTGGTAGTAAACAAAAATTATGACCCTGCGTTAACAAGATTTCATCGTAATTTGATTAAAAATAACAATGTAATTGACATCTATTTAAACGATTAGGTACGAAATTGTTAAAAAATAAACCAAGTTAGATGTAATTATTATATAGTAGTAACCCAGGATTAACTAATTTGGCTTAGATCAAACTAATATATCTTAAATTAAATATGACCACGAACATATAAGAATAACATAAAATATCAAAAAGATCGTCTTGAAATAAGAAACGAAAAAATCATCAAATTCATTTCATTTTACTTTATACATGTCAAGGTCACACGTTCTGTCACAACTAATCAAACTACATAGTTTATTTTATAAAATAATAATTTATTGCATATCAGAGATTTTCCATTATTATTTTTACAACAAATTTATAGTAAAGTTTAATGTGTGAATTTTGAAATCGGTTCATTTAACGAAATTGAATTTTTAGATATTAAAACAGTACAAAAACTTACATAATACTTAACATCTAATTCTTTATTCTGTTACTTGGTATAAACTGCGTTTATATAATGGTATAAAACGACTAATAAGAAGAGTGTAACACCCAGGAAATTTGCTAACAGGGCTAAATGTACATCTGTGATCATCCTGAAATCAAAAAAATAATGTTAACAGTAAAATTATTTTTTAATTCGATAAATGTGTTGAATGTTTACATAAAAATATATTTAAATCATATACAACTATAATTATGGAACAGTATGCAGAAATGCCCGATTCAACACGATTCTAAACAAGTTGCTATTAACACATTGAGTTGCAAATCTTTACAGAAATGATGAATAAGTAGAAATAATTGTCTCCTAGGTGAATGACAGGGAATGTGTTAGGAAAGTTCTGTGTATCAGTAATAATTTAGTTGCAAAAATATTAGTTAGAAGTTTAAACACATTGATAAATTGCGGCTCTGGATTATTTGAATTATGCCTCAAAGGAATGCAATAGAGTTATTATTATGTGCTTTAGATACTGCAACGATTTTTGTCATCAAGTCATGTAGAAAGGTTCTCGCCAATAGAGAACAAATTTATTCACGCGCAATAATCAAGCCTATAGATATGAACATGGCTGCAGTAGATTTAGGATATCGGTTACAACATCAATTGCAGTACTTTCCGTTGATGATAATTTTGAAGAACTGTCTTATTGCTATGTCATTTAGACATTTATATCTGACTTTGTTTCCAGAAATAAAATAAATATGGCGTACGCTTTAAAAAAGATATTGGTTATCTTAGATATTGAACGAGCAAAATCAATTCACGTCACGTTTCTTCTTCCGCTTGTTATAGAACTGTAGAGCTTTGAATTTATAACCGTAGTGTGTCTTATGATGTAGTTTTCCATCTTTTCGCCCTCCTGGTGTTCGACTGCTTGCTTGTTTTCCTTCTAATACAATATGCGGTAATCTGCTTTGATACATCCTCTTCACATGATCGTACTATCCTATCACATTGCTGCCTGATTAGTCTTATCCAGTCGTTTTTAATCCAGTTTAATCCTGACGGAGATGTCTCCATTTATACGCAATCCGTAAGCGAGCACCAAATATAACTACCATACTTAATTGCGAATCGCTTTCACAACTATACGCGTTGTAACCAAGCTATCTGGGTTTTAATCTTTTGGAGAGTGTAAGCTGCTTGTATCAAGTAATCACATCGGTGAAGATTTTAAAGTCCAATGTTTTCCAATATAATACCTGAGGGAGTGTTAAGTGTTCCAGCTAGTGATCGATCCGTGGTTATTGTTGAAAATTCTAGATCCTCTTCTGTGATGAATCATGTGGTTTTAGAATCTATTTAAGAGGATATTAATACCATGAATTCCAAATGCGATGATCATTTGAAATTATATCTTTTTATAGGGTTAAAATAAGGGATTTTAAGAAATCATATTCACAATTTGAATTATAAATTGAGTTAAAAGCGTTAAACTAAATCAAAACGTCAGGTTGAGGGGCTACCATCGATTTGACCTCGCACGTAGGGTATTTGGAACAATACTTGTTATATTTGATATTGATGCAGTTTATCAACTTCCCTCTTGAGAGTTCTCTGGCGATGAAGATAGGAATGGGAGTAGAAGCAGAAAGGTAAGGATATATCGAGTTTACTGACCAATCTTTATAGGCTGGCCTCTGCCTATAAAGATCTTCAGATATTTATTGGCGAACATCCTACTATTGCTGAATTATTAAGCTAAGTTTCCACATGCACGGATTACTGGCGCCAGTTTATTGGCGCCAGAAATTGTTTCCACATAAATGTTATAATTGTGTACTGGCACAGTAATAAAAATTATAATTTAATAATAAAAATGGCATCAAGTGATGTACTTCGCGCTGGCATCAATGTGGTAGTCAAAATGTGCTCCTTGGAACTGCACACGTTATTAACAAAAAAAAAAAGCGAAAACATAGTTGCTGGGCTAGATCGTGGATTGCACGTAGAAATAACCTAGGTGCGTCTAGTACTTTAATTAGAGAATTATACCATGAAGATCAGGAAGCATTTTCTAATAATTTAAGAATGACTGAAGAGAGTTTCATGTTTTTGTTGAGGCAAGTATCTTCTAAAATACAAAAATACGCATGAGAGATGCCCTTCCAGCTCACGTAAAACTGCAAACAACTTTAAGATTTTTGGTCTCTGGAGATTCTTTTACATCCTTACAATATATGCACAATTTTATGTTTTACAAAAAACACAATTTCTTTGCTTTTGCCGAGGTTTCGTCAAAATTAGGAACCGTTTTCTTTATAATTTCAACTATCCTTCTGACAGCTTCATTTCGTGCTAGTCGTTCCTTATAATATGGAATTTTCTGATTCCACAAACAAGGATATTGTTCATACGTTTCTAGAAATAGTACTGTTTGTTCTAACGTCCATTTTTTAGACGGTTTATTAGCGGATTTGTTCATTTTAGTTGGACGAATACGTTAATAGTTACACGTTTTCTTTATAAATACTATTACTGGCGCCAAAAAGAAGAAGTAGCGTCAACTTTATTGGCGCTATGATTACTGGCACCAATTTATTGGCGTCAGTGGTTTTTTGCTATTTCCACGTGCAAATAAACTGGCGCCAGTAATCCGTAAATCATAGGATTATATTTTTTTTCTTGTATCCTTCACCTCTTATTTATTTCGTTAAAAGGTTCATAAAAACTTCTTAAGCGAACTCCTTGAACTTGGTGCTATCAGGGATTAATCTGAAGGGACTCTACTTGTAGCAGTAAGGATATTCACAGCAAGTACATTATTTATCGTCGCAATAGAAATTTTCTGCAAATATTCGAGTGCTGAGCACCTATGTGTTGGTGTACTGGAACTTTGTGGGTTCACTTGTTCCAAAATAATCGCGTGCCATTTAACTTATTCCTCCATCAATTCCAGTACATACACAACTGTTCTCCAGCCGAACTAATATTGTTGGTGGGCGACTTAAATGTTTAATTTCGGCATTCTCGCAAAAATGCTAGTCCTCGTTGATTTCGCTTATCCATCAGTACCTGAGATACTTCTTATTATAAATTGTAGATACCCAAAGTCTATACATTTTGTGTAACTGCGAAGGTACACTACTGTATCGATCTGCAAGTTTATCTAGATAGGCATTACTCCATTTAGAACCTTCCTATAGTTTTGATAAACGATACTGTATGCCAGGGCTACTCATTGCTTGTAGTACTGTAGACTACAGTATATTTTCCAAGATCTGGAAAGACCGCTCTATTTCAAAAAGTACTAAAATGGGGCTAGTTCAATCACAGTTCTTTACCATCTTCCGATATGGGGCTGAAACGTGGACAATTAAAGCAGCGGATAGAAAGAGATTGATGCGTTTGAAATGTGAATTCTGCAAATTCTGTGGACAGCGCGCAGATCGAACGTATCGATCCTTGGAGAAATGATGATCCAGTATAGACACATTACACGAAGAGATGATAATGATATGGAGAAGTTGATATCGAGAGGTGTAAATTCGTTGTTGACGAAAATATCATTTAGAAATGAATACGTTTCCTATACGATTTTATGACGTAAAGGAAATTTGGCAACATGACTAGCCTATAAGATAACCAAGGTGCTTGATAAGATTTTGCTAATTGAAGAAAAATATTATTTAGGCAAGTATTAGCACCACCCAAGCATTGAATGAACAGATAGGCTGAATGAGAGAGTACAACAGAACCTCTTACAAGCTTAGGCATCTTCAATGTAAGGAAACTCTTGCATATCTATCATGATTTACCAAGGATATTTAAGGCTGATGTATTCCTCATAGCTGTTGAATAATATTATTATAAAAGTACTGATGATAACAAAATTGGACTTCATTTATTATACTTCTAATATTTTGCAAAAGTAATAAACATTTCAAATTTGGTTTATAAAATAGGGTCCTATATTCACTATAAGTACCACACCAAACATTATTCTTTGTGATCATTGTGAACTTAAAGTAAAAAAGGTAGCTTTTTTTTCCTATGATTCTTTGATTAATTCCATACATATCTTTATCACTAATTGATTTAAAGAAAAATCCTAAAACTTTTCTATTTGATATATTTTACTAGTTATCTTACTTTAAGAAATAATTTACCATACTCATAATAAATATCAGCAATAATATATAATATAATAAGACATGATCTTTTAAAAACAAATTTAATTTAATCCAGGTTCAAAATTGTTCTTTTTCATAAATAAAAACATAAAAAAAAAATTGTACATAATTCTTTTGATTGAGATAAAAATTACATCATATTATCTTTACCTAAACCTTCCACAAATTTAACTATCCACCAAAAAATATCCAATAAATATATTAATCTATTTTTTCTTCATGACTTTCATAAACAACACCATATTAACGAACACAACCAAAACGATTAAAATCAAGATCCACATCCAACATTTCCACGCTTTCTTTGAATGCTGCTGTAGTTTCTCAGATTCAACTTTTAATTTAGAAAAATTAGCATCCGTCAATTGATTAGACCTTCCTAAAACTTCCGTATCCTTCTTAATAATTTTATTAGCCAAAGTACTATGCTCTTTTAAATTATTAGTTAACTCAATCATTTCATTGGCAATCTTCTCCTGTATATTCTGATGAAAATCAATTAAATTATCGAAATCTTTCCCGGTTCCTTCTTTGGTAACAGGACGTTTTCTAACCTCCAAAAGTTCTTCTCTTGCTGTTAACTTATTTAAACCATCTCCAGTAGCTAAATCTTGTTCCGACAACATTCCCAGATTGATTTTTAAATGCCGAATCCGTTTTGTATATTCAGGAAGCTTGGTATTATTTGATGTTAACGATTTAACCTCCTCTAACATTTGTTCTAAGGAGTTAATGTATTTTGGAAATCTTTCATCATCTTTTTGGTTACTTTTAATCATAAGCTCACATTTAGCTAACAGTCTACGTAAATTTACTTCTTGTCTCGATAAATCCATTATTATTAACGAAGATTAATTAAAACCCACACAAAAACAATTTTGTTGATGTAGATAACCTCAAAATATTACTTTGACGTCGTTTTTGATTAAAGTCGCATTTATAAAGTTTCATTGGAAAAAAGTTATGATGAAATATGTTTATAAAACTTGAATAAACGTTGATAATTACACCAAAAAGCCGGATAAACCAACATTACCGAATGGAGAAGGTACACTGACGTTTTATTTTAACGGTTAAGTTTAATTAAAATTAAAATATAACGATAGGGAAGTGAAGGTTTTTGTGTGTTGAGTACTTACTTGTTAATTATGATTTTTTAATTTAACTTCGAATTGATAAACCGGGTTATATTACGTGGCGGTGGATATTTTGTTGAAATTTTTTTAGGAATTTGTCAAAACGATGACAATGCTGCCACGTTAATATATAACAATTGGTTTTTACGATAGATGGCGACACTTAGGTTTGATGTCATTTGAATTTAAAAAAAGAAAAAATTTTTAAAAATGCAAATTAATATTGTTGATTTTTTGTATGTGGTGGAGCACGCGTTGTTAATATTTACAAATTTCTTTTTGTTAATTCACTTACTTCCCAAGTAACGTGACAATGAGGAACAGTGATACCAATATTAGGCCGACTAAATTTTTTTAATAATAGAAAATACGGTCTCAATAAACTTTTTTATATTAGCTGGTAGTAAATTTTATATGGAACTTTTAAAAAAACGCAGGGATTGCAGAATTTCACCTGACAGGTTTTATTATATTTGCGGAGAATTTCCAAACCAGATCACTTTCTGAATGGCACCAAAATTGACAAAAGTTCAACAAAACACATAAGATCAAGAAATGTTATCAACAACGGTCCCAGGTGGTAATGCAAGATTTACTTGTATAACTATATCGAAGCAAACTGCCTCACACCATCTCAGTTGCCTTACTTACCTCTGGTAAAGAGTATATTAAAATCTGATCTCCTTCTACGACTTCACTACCACCTGTGTAACATCATCGACTGCTTGAAGAATTTGATTTCATTATGAAACAGTTTTTGCCTTCTAACACTACTTCCTAGAACATTATTTTCAACATTAAGGTACACTACATTAAAACTTTTTTTTGAGAGTTTTGGAAGAACCACTTGCACATCATTGCCTTCCTCAAGATGATTGATATGGCGCAGGGAGGAATACCACGGAGGATCCTCAGTTCAGCTTAAACGAAGTTTTTGGACAGAAAACTTTGTGTTTTACAATACTAGTGAGATTACAATGGTAATTATGAACTTCTGGAAAAGCACCATCAAGAAATTCTTTCTAGCACAATAAAAGAAATGCACCCCTTTAATGCAGTGCCTATGTGCGCTACTAACTTATTCTATGATACTGCGGAGTCACAATGTCAATTTTAGAATAATTAGGAATGTAAATATCAGTAGATAGAAGAAGAAATAAGAGTTAACATAAAACAGTTTTTTTCAGCAAAAATGATTTCAGTTAATACCTATTTCGATTAATGCTTGTTCCACAGTAGACGGTTTGAGCGAAGATGCAGAAGAAATCAATTCGGATGGATTATATGGATTAGATGAGTGGGGATGAAGGTAAAGGTACACTTAGTTTTAGGGATTTTTTGGATGAGAATAAAATTCAATTAAGAAAGAATGGTAGTTGGGGTTGTGCAAATTATGGATTGGACAGAGCTTAGAGCAGTACATTACATAGANGCAGAAGAAATCAATTCGGATGAATTATATGGATTAGATGAGTGGGGATGAAGGTAAAGATACACTTAGTTTTAGGGATTTTTGGATGAGGATGAAATTCAATTAAGAAGGAATGGTAGTTGGGATTGTGCAAATTATGGATTGGACAGAGCTTAGAGCAGTACATTACATACATTACATATTGGGTAGGCGGACTAACCAACCTTGCACCGCGACCCAGTCCAATGCTCTTAATGAACATTAATGCTCTGCTCGGTGAAAAATTATTCAAATCCTTTGGGGAGATAAACTGCTACGCAATGATCGAGAATCTGATACGGTTAACAGCAGGGCAGTGGCATAAAACATGCTCAACCGTCTCGTCGTCCTCCGCACATAGTGGGCATTCAACATTGTCGGCTAGGTTCAACAAGTCAAGGTGTGCCTTTAATCGGCAGTGCCCATTAAAGACGCCAATTAGAGCTTTAATGGTGCTTTGAGCAAGTCCCAAAATATTCCTGGGTTTGATAGTAGCGATGTTAATAAACAACTTAGCGTGTCTCATTCCAGGAGAACTGGTCCACAGTAGGCGAAGTCCTTCTTCAGCCCACAGTCCAATCCTATGTTTGGCCATCGCAAATAATATACCAAATGTTGGCTCTGGCCCCACAAACGCTTTAACGCCGCCCTCTCGAGATAGCTTATCTGCTGCCTCATTACCAGCAACCCCAGAGTGACCTTGGTCTCAGATTAGAGAAGCTCTGTTACCACAACTCAGTGTGTTTAAAGTTCTTTTACGGTCATTAACGCAAGCCGACCCGATTTCATGGCCTGCAGGCCCCTCTCTCAAGAAGGATTTTAGCACCTATGTCAATAGCAAATACTTCCACCTGGAATACAGTACAGTATATACGTAGCCAGGCTGTAAGCTTGCTTAATCCGAAATGTCTGGCAGTATACTTCTGCCCCGACCCCTTCCGGCTTTTTTGATCCATCTGTGAATATGCAAACATCTACCTAAACCAGAGAATTTTCGATCCAGGACTGAGCTTACACAGAGTTACATTTAGTTTTAGAATTAGATTTTGAGAACATAAGGCTTGGGTAAGGATGGAATTCAGTTGGGTGGGGACGGATTAACTTGGGGTTGTGTAAATTATGGATTGGGGAAGCTTAGGTAGTTATATTTATGATATTGGAAATATAAGGTTTGAGTGAGGATGAAATTGAGTTTTGTGGAATGGATTAGGTTGAGTTNAGTTTTAGGGATTTTTTGGATGAGAATAAAATTCAATTAAGAAAGAATGGTAGTTGGGGTTGTGCAAATTATGGATTGGACAGAGCTTAGAGCAGTACATTACATAGATTACATATTGGGTAGGCGGACTAACCAACCTTACACCGCGACCCAGTCCAATGCTCTTAATAAACATTAATGCCCTGCTCGGTGAAAAATTATTCAGATCCTTTGAGGAGATAAACTGCTACCCAATGATCGAGAATCTGATACGGTTAACAGCAGGGCAGTGGCATAAAACATGCTCAACCGGCTCATCGTCTTCCGCACATAGTAGGCATTCAACATTGTCGGCTAGGCTCAACAAGTGAAGGTATGCCTTTAATCGGCACCCATTAGAGCTTTAATGGTGCTATGAGCAAGTTCCAAAATATTCCCGGGTGTGATAGTGGCGATATTAATAAACAACTTAGCGTGTCTCATTTCAGGAGAACTGGTCCACAAGAGGCGAAGTCCCTCTTCAGCCCACAGTCCAATCCTATGTTTGGCCATCGCAAATAATATATCAAATGTTGGCTCTGGCCCCACAAACGTTTTAGCGCCGCCCTTTCGCGCTAGCTTATCTGCCGCTTCATTGCCAGCAACCCCAGAGTGACCTTGGACCCACATTAGAGAAACTCTGTTATCACAACTCAGTGTGTTTAAAGTTCTTTTACGGTCATTAACGAGAGCCGACCCGTTTTCATGGCCTGCAGGCCCCCTCTCTCAAGAAGGATTTTGGCACCTATGTCAATAGCAAATACCTGGAATACAGTACAGTACATACATAGCCAGGCTGTAAGCTTGCTTAATCCGAAGTGTCTGGCAGTATACTTCTGCTCCGACCCCTTCCGGGTTTTTTGATCCATCCGTGAACATGCAAATATCTGCCTGAACCAGAGAATTTTCGATCCAGGACTGCCGACGAGCTTACACAGAGTTACAGTTAGCTTTAGAATTAGATTTTGAGAACATAAGGCTTGGGTGAGGAAGGAATTCAGTTGGGTGGGGATGGATTAAGTTGAGGTTGTGTAAATTATGGATTGGGGAAGCTTAAGGAATATAACTACCTATATTTAGTTTTAGGATATTGGAAATATAAGGCTTGGGTGAGGATGAAATTGAGTTTTGTGGAATGGATTAGGTTGGGTTTGTGCAAATTATGGATTAGACAGGGGTTAAGTAGGATCGGTAAGTGGATGGATTTAAGTTGGAAAGCATGGGTTAACATTAATTTAGAGATTTCAAAGTTATTAGCTAGATTGGATTGAGTAGTAGTTGAACTTAAGATTATATTTTAGAAGTATTATGTTTAGGTTAGTTCGGATGGAGAGTGGAGATTACGGTAGCATTTTGAAAGTTATTGATTGAATTGAGTTTTCGATTGCATTTTGATAGTGCTTATTTTACGTAGTGATGAAATTAGATTATGTACGATGGGGCATGGAATGAGGCTGTATTGGGTTGGCGGTTTGGATATTATTGACCACTACATCCAGAGTAAGTTGAGGTCTGTTTGGATCAAGCCCAGTGTTGGGTTTGATTATAAAGATAATTTGAATGGAATGGCTTATTTAAATTAAATAAAATGGGTTGGCTTAGGTTGCGATTTTAAAAATTGTAAATTGAATTGGATTAAGTTGTGATTGGGTACATAATTTAATTTTGAAATGAACTTTGATTGTGCAGGGATGGTCTGGATTGAGATTTGGGAAATGTTAGTTTTTGGTAATGGAGTTAGATTCCAATGATATTATTTTACAAATTATTATTAAATGCGAAGGAGCTTTTGGATGATTTGATCCTGCCTTAAAGGAACGCAATGGAGTTATTATGTGGAGTACATCTAGGATATTGATGCAGAGCATCCATTAGGCAAAAAGTATTGCAATGTCATTTGGGCATTTTCATGTTACTTTATTGCCAGAAATAAACAAAGTTTTTGTAGGCTTCACAAATATAGAGATAAAAAAGATATTAGTTTTGAGAAACAAACATCTGGGTTCAGAAAGGTATCTTAGGTATTTGTCTCTTGCAGACGTGGATGAAAAAAATCAATTGACCTCACTGAAGCAATTAGCTATGTGTTGACGAAAATCATCTTATCAAACATCTTTATTCTTCTTCTGCTTGTTTTAGACCAGTGGAGTTCAAAATTTGTAGCCGTCTTATGATGTAGTCTTCCATCTTTTGGTTGTTCTGGTGTTCAAGTACCTGCTGTTTTTCTGATGTTGGTAATCTGCTTTCATTCATCCTCTTCACATGATCCTACCAAATTCCCATATTTAGGAAATGTTACTTTTTGGTAAGTTGATAAATGCGTTTGAAACTCCACATTATTTTTTACACTAACAAATTAAAAATCACAAGTATACAAAAAATATGTATTTACAAAGATACAAAAAATAATTTAGTTTTTAACAATACTTTTATAAAGAATTAAATCACAATGTATTAAACTATTTTTTACAAAGTTTTACCTTTTCTGATACTTTAATTTCAATATAAAAAGAAATCACTGTAAATCACTAATCATATAAATTAGTGGTATAAATAACAATACGTTTTATTTTTATATGTTTTATATATTACAATTAATTGAATTTATCAATCGTCCCTTCGCAAATCCTCATGAAATTTATTAATATTTTTTTCTAATTGAATAGATTCCTTAACTACACACATTTTCAAATCCAGGAAATTATTTCGGATCAACATTAATCCATCCATATTATCAAACTTTAACTTTTGGTAAAATATTTCAAATTGCTCTTTTACTTCTTGCCTTATCACGTCCAATTGCTCTTTGACTTCCTGCTTGACAATATTTTTCACAATATTTTGAATCTCAGATTTTTCTGAATCGGATAATACTCTAGAACTTTGACTAATAATGGGAGACATGTGGGTTATACATGGACCATCTCCTAATGATTCAGAAGGAATTTTTGGTGTTGAATTTTTTTGCGGCACTTCGAGGCCGCCGGTTGAAAGTTTTCTTCTTTCACCGGGATTACTCAATCTTGATATCTGACGATGCTTCAAAGTGGATGCTGAAGGCGTTTCATGCTGATGCTGCTCTTGATGCGTTTCTGAAAACCTCCTCTCAGGTATATTATGATAAGATTGTTGATTAAGTTTTGGCGAATTATCTTTCAAAAAAACTGGGCTTGCTTGAGTTTGTTGCCCGTCAACTAAATCTAACAAATTTGGGTTTGAATCTAAGAGTTTTCTAACTCCTTTTGAAATTGGCCCTGCTCTATCAGGTCCTGGACTACTATACGACGAAACAGAGTCTTGATTAATACCCATAGCTGCTAAGAAAGAGTCTTGAGGAGCATCATTTTCAAATTTTTGATCAAAATTTGACACATTCTCTTCGGCATCGTGTAACATATGTCCAAAAGAATCACATACTTTATCATCAGGAAATTCTTGTACTGAACCTATTTCTGGTTTAATTTTAAAAACTTCCCCACTTTCTTCGGTAATATTCTGATTTATAGTATAATCACAGGTTTCATCTGCATCGAGAATCTTTTGGAACATAATTTGTTTTATAAATGAATTATGTGCTTTGAAAATGTATGTTGGAGTGTTCATTTGGCGAGTATCATAAGTGTAAATTGTTCCAGATTGAGTACCAACAGCTAAACCAACACCATCTGGACAAAAATCTATTGCAGTTGGTGATCTATCTAAGAATTGTTGAAGAACCATCCCGTTTGACGCTATATCCCAAAACACAAATTTGCGATCAAGCCCACAACTAACAATTAAATCATTTCTACGTGGTGAAAACGCTACATCGGTTACAATAGCTTGATGGGTTTGATGTTTGTGAATTCGATTAGTTCTGTAACAATCCCATACAGCAACTAAACCTTCTTCACAACCAGCCATTAATAAATTCCTTTTCGAAGGATGTGTTCTTAAAGTACTTAAAGTTTTTGAATTTGGGATTCTGTATGATGATGAACAATTTGCTGTGGAACTATTATAAGCCATAATTTCGCCATCTTCACAACCAGCAAATAAATAATTATCATTTACTGAATATTCAAGTTGAAACACTGTGGATTTCGCTCTAGGACTAAGATATTTAACAGATTTGTGTTTAATGTCATATATCAAAACATTTCCTGTGGTTGTCCCCAATGCAATATTCCTTTTAGTGAGATTTTGAAATACTGCACAAGTAGGTTGAGCAATGGAATCAAGTGAAGATAAATGTTTTAAAACCTTGTCTCGGACACCAATTATTTCTGCATGACCTTGACTTGGAACAACAACAAGCCATTTTCCATCTTTTCCCCAAGATATCGTTCTTAATACACCATTTCCATTTGTTTTGTATGTGTTCACCAATTGACCAGAAGGCCACATGTGAAGTTTTACTTCAGCAGCAATTGAAGCGATATACATTTTCTAGGAATGATTAAGAATCAGTTTTAGAAATAAATTTAAAAGGGTACTTACGTTTATTATATCCGATCAAACTCAATAAACAAGTTTTTATTAAGATCGACGTGTTTCTTGTGTTCCACGAAAACGGTTACAAAAACACGATTTTTTAAAAACCAATATTGCAAACGTAAAATTATAAGACTAACTAAAGTTGGGGACTAAAATCCCTGTTAGTATTATGTAGTTTATAACGTTTGGTTGAAATTAAACGAATTATTTGGTTCAAGATAAAAGGGATTAACTAAATATTAAAAAATAAGGGTATACTAAACGCTAACACAACTAACAGAAAAACTGGATGAGAATAATTGAAAGAATTGTCAAAGTTGACAAACATATATCTTTTTTTTCGGCCGTATCGCCATCTATTGATTAATAGTTGCAACAAAAAGTGTGGTATACAGAATATACAGAGTGTTTTACAGACCTTGATACAAAAATGATGGTTGGTTTTATAGAGTTAGAGAAGGTGTCTCCGCAGGTATTAAAATGATAAAACTTATAAAATAATACTGCTGTATATGTAAGTATTCTAACAAACTTTTTTATCTTAATGAGGCTATAGCAATAAAGCTGCATTCAAGTTTCTGAATCTTCACAATAACTCAAATATGATTAAAGAATTTCAAAGCATAGAGTTTCATCGATTTTGAGATTTAAAACCTTGCAATCACACACATAGTAAAAATCTACAAACCTAGTAAAATGATAAATATTTAGCTATTATTATCTAGCTATTGCGAGATCAAGGGCTTTTGAACAGGCAGAGATTTTTAAGTTATTGTAAAGATTCAAAAGATAAACTTGTAAGTATGAGTACACATGAATCGACTCTTCCCAAAGACACAGAATGATTCTGGTTGAATTTTCAATATAGACGAGACAGAGCTACAACTACATGAAAAATTTTATTGTTATGGATAGATTAGAAAATATCAAACCAGCTACTTAATCTCTTATGGTAGATTGCTAAGATGAAGTCTTTAGAGAGTCCATTTGAGATTAATGGTAGATGAACGTATTTGACAGTGTTGATATTACCCATCTTCCTTATTTCAGGTCTGTTAGCGTTTACTCGATTAATTATCATAATTTTAGTTTTCGTTTTTGGTAATGCGGTGAGCTTGAGTTACTTTTCTGATGTCGCAACCAAGATGGTATCATCGGTGTACTGGAGGTTATTAATTTTTACGCCACCTATTATTATTCCTCTATTTCAGTCTTCCAAAGCTTTCCTCATGGTTCACTCGGCGTAGAGGTTGAATAGGAGGGGACTGGGTATGCACCCTTATCTGATACCGTTTTCCACCTAGAATGTGTTAGTGAGCTCATTCTCAACTCTTACGTATACTGTGTTATTCTCATAGAGAGTCTCGATGATGATTATGTCTTGATACGTCCATTTCATCCAGGATGTGCCAGAGATTGTAGAGTAGGTACTAGACATTGTAGAGTATTGTTGTAATTGAAGAGTACAGAATGGTAAAGTTCACTTTATATTACTATCATCGACTTTAAGAAGGCCTTTAATTTGTTAAGCAGAAGAATCATGTGGCATACTCTAGAAGAATATGGGGTTCCTACGAAGATCATCAGCGTCACCATGGTGCATAATGGAAAACTTATCGATCGTATCCAAGGCAAATTCTGGTGTGAGATGAGGGTGTATCCTGTCACCTATACTGTTCGTCCTGGTATTGGATAGTGTGATGAATCTTTCTCTTACAGAACGAAGGAGAAATGTTATTCAGTGAGGGATGCAAGATAGATTTGATGACCTTGAGTTTGCAGACGATATCTGCCTACTCTCACAAAGGTTTTGTGACATGGAGGTAAAGTTCAGAAGATTGCAAGATGAAGCAGACCCAGCAGGACTAAAAGTTAATATTAAAAAAAAACGAAGGAGATGAGGATCAATTCTATAGTCGAAGCTAAGTCAATAGTGAATGGAAGAGACTTGGAACAAGTTGAAATAGTCCTGTGACTTGATAACATTAATGGGAATGATGAAAATGAGGCCTCCGTGCAATTGTATAATATCTGGCGAAATAAGAACATTAGTCCTCCTGTTAAACATGGAATGTCACCAAGGGGATGTCGAACAAATTACAAAGGTTCATTAATCAATGCTTGCGACGTATTATAAACGTGAGGTGGCCGAAGATGATATCCAATAAAGACTTGTAGGAGAAAATAAGCCAACGATCCATTAGTAACCAAATCAAGGAGTGAAAATGGGGTTGGATTGGCTACACGCTCAAGAAGCCTCATGGAGCAGTTGAGATGTCAGCGCTTGACTAGAACCTTCAAGGAGCTCGGAGACGAGGGCCAACCGAATCAGATGGAGAGCCTATACTGCTGTCCTAAGCTCCACCAAAAGCAACAGGAAATAAGTTAAGTCTATGCATTGTGGAATCAAATCAATGTTTGTTTAAGTACCTAAACCTGTTAATGAATGATTTGCGGTTTTGTGCGAATTCAAGTTTGTACTTGAGCATTCTAATACTTAGTACAAACGATTACATGACGTGCTACTCAATGTTGTTCTGATTTCATTGTTCTAATACCGTCTACTCCAAAAATCTAAAATCATAATGAATGGTTGATACTAGTATGTTGTGGATGATTCCATAATGCAATGGATGAAAATCGGTATCCGGAACATCATACTGAAAAACTTTTACTACAAAAGTTGTAGCAAATTGTACCATTAACACAATGCTCTGTAACATTTTTGCTCCCAGATGCATCAATGTGGGGAATTGTTCAAAAATATGAAAATTAGAAGAGTGTTAAAAAAAATCGGTATCCGGAGCATAATACAGAAAAACTTTTACTACAAAAGTTGTAGCAAATTGTACCCTTAACACAATGGTCTGTAACATTTTTGCTCCCAGATGCATCAATGGGGCAGAATTTTTCAAAAATATGAAAATTAGAAGAGTTAAAAATCGGTATCCGGAGTATGATACAGAAAAACTCTTACTACAAAAGTTGTAGCAAAATGTACCATTAACAGAACCGTCTGTAGCTTTTTTGCTCCTAAATGCATCAATGTAGAGAATTTTTCAAAAATATGAAAATTAGAGGAGTGTTAAAAAAAATCGGTATCCGGAGCATGAACAGAAAAACTTTTACTACAAAAGTTGTAGCAAATTGTACCCTTAACACAATGGTCTGTAACATTTTTTCTCCCAGATGTATCAATGTAGAGATTTTTTCAAAAATATGTAAATTAGAAGAGTGTTAAAAAAATCGGTATCCAGAGCATTATACAGAAAAACTTTTACTACAAAAGTTGTAGTAAATTGTGCCCTTAACACAATGGTCTGTAACAGTGTTCAGTTGTTGCCTGCAATATCCAGAGTGATTGTTTCCAATAACCAATGGTCTGATAGTATCCGTACCGATTGCAACCCGAATTTAGCAGCTGAATCCAGTAATTAATAGATTATTCTAGAACTCAGTAGATGGTATCAGTATACAATTATTGGTTGCAATATTTATAGCAATTGGATACAGTATCAAAAAGTTTGATACAGTTTCCTTCGAGATTAGAACTAGGGTATAAAGGTTGATTCACACATATCTCATGGATGACTCCAGTATTTAGACAATAATTTCAGTATCCAGTTGTTGCCTGCAGCACTCAGAGTGATTAGTTTTAGTATCCAAAAGTTATGGAATCTACATAGCAATTACAATCAAAATCTAGCGGTTGTATCCAATAATTAATAGATGATTCTAGTGTCCAATTAATAGTTTCAGTATATAGTTGTTGTCTGCGTTTTTAGCCATTATCGAAAACTTGCGTGGTGATTAGACCAGAATCTGTTAGTTGATTCCACTATTTAAAGGATGACTCCAGTATCTAATAGCTGATTGTAGTATCCAGTTGTTGGTTGCAGTCTATAGTGACAGATACGATTTGCATAATGATGACAACCAGAGTATAACAGATGATTCACATACATATATTTAATGGACAACTCCAGTATTCCGTCGATGATTCCAATATCCAGTTGTTGTCTGCAGTATTCACAGTGATTGGCTCCAGTACCTTCGGCTTAATCATACAAAGTCATAGATTCTCCGTTTTAAGTTTAGCCGTGATCGCTTGTGGCTGAGGTTTTGAATATGTTGAGCAGCTTTAGGTTGATATGATATTAAATAAAATTTGAAGCATTTAAAAATCCTGTGATTATACGTGGTTATTTAAACTTGAATAAATAAGCCCCATTTCATTACGACCCTATTCCCCTATATATTCTTATAATGTAAATTCAATTAATTTCGGTTTTTCTATAACGAATAAATATTGTACTTCGTTTTCTTGTGATAATGTAATGTTCCTTCTCGGAATACCTAACTCAAGACTACGTCGTCACATGGTATCAACTAATTTATAGTTGCATCATGAGAATACCATTGTAACACAAATAGCAGTCTCCTTATTAATCGCTCAGCCGGAAATTGAGGTAAACTTCTTGGTTAACCCGCCTTCCTAGAATTTACCCATTTACTACTCACCCTATACCCCACCAACACAATTCACTTTGTGTAACTTAGTTACAAATAGGGGGATTGTTTCGGAGAATGGAAACAGTATTAATAGACAAAAAATCAGCGTGACACTTCGGGATGAGTTTATTATTAATGTGGTGTCAATAAACATGAAAGTAACTCATCATGTGTGAGGTAATCGAGAAGCGTTTCCGAATTAAAAATCAGGGCAATAAAGGGGGTTATATCCTGTTTGCGGTTTCTCTCGTGGCGTTCGGACTGGGATTCGGAAGGGAGGCTTCCTCATATTTGCACGCGTTTCAATCTCCCCGATTCGGTAATATATTGCCTCCGCCTGGCTGCCGGACGGGAATTCCCGTCAGATGGAAATCGTCCCTTCCCGTTCCCATTTCTCCTGTTCGTTCAGGTAGGGGACAACCACGAACGTCGCCTGCAACCTACTCAAATCAAGTCCTAATCTGGAGACCCTTATTACTGGGGGGTTGCCTGGATACGTCAGGTTTCGAGCTACGCTACCTCGATCAAATATGGCACATAGAAAGTTGAAACAAAATTTTATCGCGTTTCGAGAACCTCATCATTCACGGACAATAATTCAAAAGAAGTTACTATACGTTAATCCGAAACCAACGTCTTTCTTTTTTTAGATTTGTCCATCATTTAGACACACAAAAGATCTGGTCAAGTTGAAATGAATATTTATCAAAAGAAGGCGTACAAAAGCGTCCAAAAAACGCTGAATGGTTAATCAAAAGGATTAGGCGACTACCTACCTTGA